TCTGCAATTTATTGATGTGCGAAAGAGTGATATAGTGACTGAAGTTTTTTCCCGGAAAGTTATCCCAAGCTTTTCCCTGGTTTTGAGTATAACTGTAGAAGAGGATGCTGTCTTCTTCAGGACTGTTTAAAAGAGTTAGGACTTAAACAATGTGAAGAATTATGGGTAAATCAGGTTCAGATTAAGTGGGTACTTAGTTATCAGCTTAGAAATTTATTGGAAGTGAGTGTTGCGTTCCAGTGTATGTTTTTTCCAGCACCACCAAGCTGTTAACCCAATTCCGGCACTCCCTGTGGTTAGCATTAGATCCCACAGGTTAAGGGCTCAGTCCCACAAGACTGTCCCCCACCCTGTCCAGACACTAATTGAAAATTCAGGTTGTTACCGGTGCTTGTGGCAATCCTCTAGATAGACCATAGATGTACTATAGATTGGCTATAGATCTGCAGTTCTCAGGCCCTCCTCCTACAGCGGCTCACAGAACTCAGAGAAACATGTCACTCACCGGATTACCAGTTTATTGTAAAAGGATATAGCACAGGAACAGCCAGGTGAAGAGATGCTCAGGGCTGGGTATGCTCTCTGGGTGTGCCACTCAGCAAATCTCATCGTGCTCACAATCACAGAAGCTCTTGGAAGCTGTCCTTTTGGGGTTTTGCAGAGGCTTCATTACATGGGCAAGACTAAGTCATTGGCTGCTGATGACTAACTCAGCCTCTAGCCTGTCTCCCCACTCCAGAGATCAGGGCTTGGGACTGAAAGTTCCAACCCTCTAATCACAAGGTTGGTCCCCCTGGTCACTAGCTCCTGTCCTCACATGGCCTAGGGTCTTTCCTAAGTCACCTCATTAGTGTAAGAGACCTTGATCATTCTCAGGAAATCCCAAAGGCCTAGGAGCTCTGTGCCAGGAAGAGGAACATAGACCACATATGTATTCCATATTATAAACCTCAGCATTATGTATGTGTTCGGAATGTTTTGGAAACCTTTTGTTTAATTAGTATTAATGAGATAAGGAGTAAGGAAAAGTTTTCTGCAGTCCCTCGTTGGTTTGTGTCAGGTCAGTGAGCTAGAACTGGCTTCCATGGATTGTATTTTGCGTCTCAGTTTTTCAGAGCGTGATCTAAGAGGAAGAGTCCTCACGGGAGTAAGGAAACTGTTTCTGTCAGTCGCCTTTTACAGTGTCAGTCAAGCCGCTTTTTCCTTGTTAACAGCACCTCTCTGTAAAGCGAGGATGTCCACCCGGCCCTGTTTACTCCCAGGATGCTGTGAGGCTCTCGGACCAGGTGACCCCAAGGGGATCGAGTCTCGGGACCGCAGGAATGGTGTTTCTTTCCTCTTTCCTGAGGGGTAGAGAACAGATCAGGAAAAGTAGCAGAGAAATGTGAGGTCTGGGTCTGAGGAGCCAGAAAATTTTCTTTCTCTTTCTATTTACTTAATCATCTTTAGTAATCTCTCTTTCTCTTACTGTTTGCTTAACTCTTTTATTATTTTGTATTTCTCTGCTTCTGCTTCTTTGAATTCTGCTGCTGAAGAGAACTATCTACTCATATTATCTGACTTACCAAATTCACTTTACATTTATTATTTTTTAAAATATGAAAGTAACAGGCTCTCAGTGGAAAAACAGTTCCAATGATCTAACAGTGTGTACAGATACACCCTCTTCTGATGCCTCTGTTTCCTTTTTCCAGAAGTTGCGTGTCCTTCAAAACTATTTTTTAATGCATATATGTGTGTTTGCATACACTCAACTTACTTTTGAAAGCAAACACTCTTTTTTAATTGGCCCTGTGTTGAGGGCATCTTTTCAACTTGAGACCTCCTCATAACTTTTTTATTTTTATTTTTTATTGATTTACCATGTTTCAGACGTACAAGAAAGTGATTTAGTTAATTTATACACATGCACACATACCCACTTTTTCAGATTCTTTTCCGTTCTCCACTGCTTTTTAGAGAATAGGTTTTTTATCTTAGGTGATAAGGACTTTGAGTAGGGAAACCCACTATGTTTAGCTTCGCTGGGGGATGTGCTGGGGAGTCAGTTGAGGATGTCTCGATTTTAGAAAGGAGAACAAATGTATGTTCAGCTTTGGAAAACCCTCCATGGTCTGACTCCCAGGTCTGTTGGCCTCACTTTTCATCCTTTCTAACCCTCCAGGTATCTCTTCGAGTTCTTCCCTGGTGCTCCAGTACCGTTTGAGTTATGATTTGTCTCTAGATGGCTGATTGGTTTTATTGAGAAGTGGACCTTTTGTCTCCTTTGCTGGCTCTTCCCTGGCTTCTGCGGCTACGCCTGCTCCGGATTACTCAAGGGCTTCATTTAAAGGATGGGCTCTGTTTTGAAAAGAGGGCCTTCCTGAGAGAGAATGATGAAGCCTATTGAGATTTTAATTGCTTTAAAAGTGGACAAAAGAAGGTCTGCCCAAGAAGTCAAGGGTTGAAGTATTTCTGCCTTACTTACTACTTATTGAATGAGTGAATGAACGCGTGGGGAAACTAAGTGGTTGCATGTACCCGCCAGGCTGTGAAAACCGAAAGGGAACTGGGTCTCATCGTGTGGAGGGAACAGCAGTTCCGTGTCTCCTTGGCCTCCCCTTAGCAGCTCCGCCCTGTCCCTTCTCCTCAGTAGTCAGGATGTGGGGCAGTTTTGTGACTAAACAACACTGGTTCCAGATAACATACTTGTCATTTATACTTGGGAAGAGGAAATTTTTGTTGAATGTTACGTTTAGTGATTTCTCTGTGTTTTTAGGGATGACAGGATAGTTTGGTTTGGATTTGATCAGGTTTTGTGATTATCACTAGTTCCCAGTGGAGATGACTAAATCAGAAATATATTTTTGTTTTTATTTTTTGTTTCTTTTTGGGGGGAGGGTAATTAAGTTTGTTTATTTATATGTTTGTTTATATTTTTGGTGGAGGGACTGGGGATTGAAGCCAGGATCTCGTGCATGCTAAGCACACGCTCTGCCACTGAGCTACACACACCCCCTTTTTTATTTATGATAAAAGGAAGGAGCATTTACTTCTGGCAGACTTGCCCTTCTGGCCTGCGGGCGCCGCCTGCTCTGCTGCTTTCCTGGCTCCTGGTGGGAGTGGGGAGGAGGCGAGCCACTGTTGAGGCAGGTGGCCTGGCTCTCGTGCACTGGGTCCTGCTGGGGCAGGGAGCAGAAGGCACCGCCGTTCTTCTGAGGGGGTGAGAGGATGGGGCGTGCTGTGTTTTGATTTCTTATCTAGTCCTCTGGAGAAATGGGTGGAGCGAATCACCTAAGTCGCCGAGTTTCTGGCGTGCAGAATTCAGTTCGGGTCCAGACCTTTGGGAATGTGCCGAGTCCTTTGTGGCAGCCCTGCATGCTGCTCCTTGTTGCAGGATGTGCTCTGTCAAGCTGTTGTGAGCCTCCAGCTTTTGTCTCTCATCTGTGTGAACTGATGCTTTTATAAGATCTAGTAAAAATGCAGTGTTATAAACACAGTAACACAATAAAAAAGGACCTATAAACAGATGTCCAGAGTTTTTATTATTAGTTTCAGCAGACATAAAATTACTTTGTCAAATTACTTTAAACCTTTTAAAGTTCTGACTCATAATTTCTGTAATTATCTCATTGTGGCCAGTACAGAATAGTGTGCTGACTGGCACTTGCCCGTGACCTGCACGCTGAGGAGCACTGCCCTAGACCTGCCCCGTTTTCCCTTCCCCTCCTTGTGTTTTCCCATCAGACACCATACCCTTGAATTTTGGGTCTTGGTGAAGCCAAGTGCTACTGGAAGGGTTATCTCTTGAATCACATTTGAACATCGGCTCAAGTTAAGCTGTAGGGAAGCCCAGTTTAAATTTTAATTAACACTATAAAAATTGAAGAAATCAGCCTTTGAATTACTTACGCAGGCAACAGACCTGGAGTTAAAAGAATCTGAGAGACTGGGTAGAATTTCTCAAATCAGTTCCTTAAAATCAATTTGCTACCGAGACATGTGATAAGAAATCTTCCCTTTGCCAGAAATTCCCGAGTAATGTGATTGCCTCCAAATACACATAAAAACAAGAAAAACAAAAGAACTAAGCGTCCTAGAGCATGTATTCCAGAAATCAGATTGTGCATTTGGTGTTGCCGGGGAGGATTTATCAAGTCATTGCTCCAAATCATAAACTTTTCAAACTGGGAGTGCTTCCCTGAGGGCCAGAGAATCCTTTTTTTCACAAGTAGTAAATTTACCATAACTGTAACCAAAAGCTGAATCTTTCTTTAGTGCTTTCCATGAACGAAATTGAACTTCCTGATAACTATGTTTGTATCATTGAGGATGAGATGTTTATATCGTTGGAGGATTTTAAATTTCACTTCTGAAGGATTTTGTGATTTCACTTTACTTGTTTAAAATGAACATGTGTACTGTTTTTATTAACTATCGTGATTTTTAAATTTTGTGCTTAATTTTTTCTCTAATCTAAATCATATTTAATATGTTTATTTTTCAGGAATTACCCACCTCTGTCTTTCTGGTGATGGAGGTAGGTGGTATACAAGTTCTTGTTTAATTTACTTCATATTTCTTTTGATTAATATGTACTTTAAAAGTGACTGGGTTATTTGAAAATTTGAATTAATAAAGTTGATTCAGTGATTTAGATCCTACTTTATAAGGAATATAAAATTTTAAAATGTAGATTCTATAATTCTTTATAATGTAGTTTCTAAAAATGTAGATTCTATAAAATGGTTTGTTTCAGACCAGATTTACATTACATGCAAGTGTACTCTTAATTAAAATTAAATGATAATGGATTGAATTAATCAGTATTTTCATTTTAATTACTTTTTCTTTTATATATCAGTATTGCAATGGTGGAGACCTGGCAGATTATTTGCAAGGTAAGTTTTTGTCTTCGCCAGTGTTTAGTATAGTACTGTAGTCTGTTTAATCACCAGTTCCTTCTGAAGTATGCTACCCCTGCTTTCTGTACTTGTATAGAAACAGTCAGTAAAATATTTGTGTATTTGTTTGACTGTGGTCACTTAACTGACTGGCTCTTGTTTGCTGTGGTCTTGCTTCTCAGCCTTAATTGTGTGTGAATGTTTATGTACGTGTGCCCCTCTCCCACAGTGTTTGAGAGGTGGGTCCTCTCCCCAGAAGAGAAAAACCAGTAGGCTTTCTCTTCAGAAGACTCTAGTGGCTTGTTATCAGTGAACCTTTGTCCTTTCATTTCCTTCAGAGTTAAAAAATAAAACATAATGGAAGACTGTATCTAAGAATGTATTTATTAATGTGAATGATTTTTGTAATTTTTCAAAATGTTCTAAAGGATTAAGGGTAACAAATTATTTTGTGGCACAAAGGTAAGATTTTAGTACTAGATGCTGCTTTGAAATTCTGTGTCTGTGAGTATATCCACATAGGATAATAAGCATTCAGATCAGGTTATGTCCCTCAAAAGTATTTTTTTAATGATGTTGGATGAGGCCAGCACCTCCTTGCTGGCCCCTTGAAGATGCAAGGGAGACAGACAAAAAGAACAGTAAAAAGTTCATAACCCAGCCTGGAAATAGATCATGGCAACTCATGGTAAAAACAGTAAGACGTCACCAGACACACCCACCAAGGGTCTGGACAGCTCGCAGGAGAGGAATAGTGTACTTAAAGTGTTCACCTGGTCATCAGAGAGTGCAGTTAAAAATGAGGTTTTAAAAACTTTTCCAGTATAAAATATTGGGGAGATTTCAAAAGCTGTGTAGAGAATGATGTGAAGAATACTTGTATTACTCCTCCCTCCAGGTTAAAAAAGGAATTCCACATAAAGCTGAGGCTCCACGTAGGCCCTTCTGAGGTCCTGCTCCTGTCCCTCCTGCTTGGGGACAACCGTTACCCTGAATTTGGTAGTTTATTCCATGCGTGTGTTTGTATTTTTCCTGAGATTCTTTTTTTAACAAATTATGTTAATTTGGTAAAAAGATTCTTCAAAATGTCAATTACTAGTGGAATACAGAGACAGGCACTTTCTTCACTACTGGTAGGCAGGAGTTGGAGCTCCAAGACACCTTGTTCCACCTTCCAGTCGGTCTCTGAATCTTGAGATGCTTTACGCTGGCAGTGATCTAGATAAAGGCACCTTTCCCCTGCGGTCAGGTTGAGGGTCACTTTATCAGTTTAGGGCCCTCACTGGAATATCAGTTTCCTTCTTTAACAGAAAGACGCAGGCATTGATACTGGTGTAGCTGCGACAGCAGTTTTGTCCCTGAGGTTGGACTCCGTATTTGATGTTCCAGAGCAGCAGTGTTAGCACAGGGGACCAGGAATGAAGCGCTTCCTTGAATGCTGGAGGCAGGCAGGCTGGTTTGAACCGTTCCGTTGTGTATATCAATTAATTGCTATATGATTTTGGTCGACTTGGTTAACCTCCCCTGGTCCCTGTCTGCCACTTGAAAAGACGTGTGAAATAAATTTGGTCTTCAGGGAGTTATCTAGAGCGGGACTGTTCCATGTGGTAGCCACTGACCACGCGGGGCTGTTGAGCTCTTGAAATGTGGCTAGTCTGAATTGAGAAGTTCTGTGGTGAAGAACACACTTTGGATTTTGAACGCTTCATAGGAAGAAAAGAATGAGTATATCTCATTAGGCTTTTTATATTGATTATAAGTTGAAATAATATTTTGAAAATATTAGGTTAAATATATAATATTAATTTTACCTGTTTCTTTTCACTTTTTAAAATGTAAACTATCAGAAAATTTAAAGTACATACGTGGCTCACGTTGTATTTCTGTTGGAGAGCACTGGTCTGGAAGATCTGGAACGTCCAGTCCTGAAGGTCCAGTGCCCTTATATCACAGCTTGATTGTTTAGTTCTCTTATCTGCTTTGGTAAATACAGTGCTTTTCACATTTTCAAAAAAATGGAAAACATTCTATTAATAGCAAGTTTAAAATAAAATCTAAACTAGTTGGTAGGTTGTATTTTGGCATTAATTGCAGCAGATACACTGAGTGTGGCAGCTACAGCTGAGCCAGCCCACTTGTTCATTCATTTGAACAAGTTTTGATGGTAGCTATGCCTTTAAAATATTAAGTTTTTAACTTGAAAATTTCAGTTTATGGGATTGTGTTGAGCATACATCCCATGTTCATAGAAACGTGAATTTTTACTACAATTTGTATCCAGAAACAGCCTAAACTAGATCATTACTTTTCTCCACAGGAGCAATGTTAGAGTTTGGACTCTGAATCAGATAAACTCTGTTCTTTTCAGTTCAGTAGTGTGTCGTAGGGCAAGGCTGCAAATTGTAAGCAACTGCAGTCATTTAAAGTAGCAAAACTCTTGAACCCTAGGGTGAAAATGCAAATGAATGAAATGGAGAAAACATATTATCCACTTTATCCGTATTATCCATATCAGTGGAATTTAAGTAAAGTGTTGCAAAAATAAAGGTCTAGTTTTATTGATTTGACCCACCTGCTAATGTGCAGGAATCTGTGTTGCCACCTGCAAGAAAGTGGATCTGCAAGAACATACGTATACTCCAGAGTTAGACGATGCTCACTCATTTCCAGGGGTAGGATTATGAAAGAGTTCGCTTTTTATATGTTTTAGTGTGTTTGGATTTTTTTTTTACAGTGAGCATCAGGAAAAGAACCTCAAAGAATTTTAAAAAAGGGAATCAGTTAAGAATAGACCTCACATAAGAAAGTATTTGATACTTTTTAAACCATGGGATTTAGTTTATTTGAAGATGTTAAGGACATAAAATGTCACTTCATGGTCGTTAAAATGATTTTAAAACTATAGTATTTCACCTGTTCCAAGTGATGATGTTATTTCTATCTGTCTTAATCTTAATTGCATTTGAAAAGATTATAAAGAGCATATTCTAGAGTTGTTTGGGCAGAAGTGTGTTCACAAAGGATTTAAATGGGGTCATGGATATTAAGTCCCTAATGTAGAGTCAAGACTTTTAGATCCATTGGAATAAAATGTACTCTATGTATATATACTGAGTACTAATTACGTACCAGGCCTTTTAGTAAGGTCTTTATTAAATGTGCTGTCTTGTGATTAGTCTGTTTTCAGCTTTTCATAGTTGAGGAGTGGGCTCAGAGGGGTCATCTTCCAGGGTCACACAGTAGGTGGGTGCAGGAGCTGGGGTTTAAACAAAGGCAGCCTGACCACAGACCCAGCTCTGTTGACTATTGCAGGCCCTGGTGCGCACGTAGGCACACTGCTGCTCACTGAGCAACGGCCACCCTCGAGTTGTGCTTCTGCTGCCTCTGTGTTGGTGGGCACTTGTCTTCTTAACAGGTGTCTTTGGTCAGGAGAGATGCTGTGGAGGACAGAGTGGGGAGATGAAAGGAGACAGTGTTGGACCACGGACCTCTGACATGTCCAGGTGGTGGCATTGCCCTAGTCGTGCCAGCCGAGCATTTCACCTGTTTTTAGTTTGTGCTCAGGTAACAGTTGGACCTTTATCCCTGGTATTTGACTGTGAAGAGGACTTATTTTTGGCTTGTAGAGGAGACTCACATTTATGGAGCACCTGTGTGCTCATTCTTGCCAGTAAAAATGGGAAAGGAAAACCAAAAAGGAACACAAGTGAAAACAAAAGATGCCCATGTAAATCCATTCTCTTTACAACAGATTGGTTAAAAATTTTGAGATATCTGGTATCTTTTCATAGACTTAAATTGTTAGAAACAATGAAAAAATGTGAATCCCAGTTCCTTACTCCCTCCATGTTCTCCTTCACAACTCGCTTCTGTTGCTGGAATACACAGGTGATACTTGGCTATGCATGTTAAATGTTTGTGTGGCTCCTCTCCCGCCAGCTAAAGGAACTCTCAGCGAAGACACCATCAGAGTGTTCCTGCATCAGATCGCCGCTGCCATGCGGGTCCTGCACAGCAAGGGCGTCATCCACAGAGATCTCAAACCGCAGAACATCTTGCTGTCTTACGCCAATCGCAGGAAGTCAAGTGTCAGTGGTATTCGCATCAAAATAGGTAAATGGCCATGTATCATTTCATGCAAAGAACGTTTTTGAGACTCTGTTTTTAGATAATTTTAGTTCAGCTTTGTTAGAATGATGAGTTTTGTTGATAGGCTTTTGACATTTTTATTGAGTTCGGGAGGTACATATGGATGTGGGAGCCCTTTACATTACTGGCAGCAGGTGCTAAATTTCAGACAGGGCCAAAGGGCTCCTGCTAGGAACTCTGGCTTGAATCGCAGCGGGAAAGCCTGCTGCTCCTCCTCGGAGGGAGGTAATGTGTTACGGATGCTGGCAACAAATTAATAACCCTTATTCTTTACAACTTACAGGGGTAGAGGTAATAGCTCCATGGTGGAGCGCATGCTTAGCGTGCACGACGTCTTGGGTTCAGTCCCTAGTACTGCCACACACACAAAAATACAGCTTATGGGGTTTTAACACGAGGGATCTGAGAGATTATGTTGTTCAGGATTCTTATTCAGCAGTTTTTTTAGAGCTCTCAAGATTATTTGAAACAGGTTGTAATGCTAGATTTTTTTAAAGCTCTTCTCTTGGTAGAAAAATAAGTTTTTAGCAGTATTTTAAGAAATCTCTGATATTATATAGGTTACATTTGGTATCCAGAGAAGGACAAAAACAGTTCAGATTCTATAGCTGATATTGATGTTTAATGAGAGCAGTATTCATGAATCATTTATTGTAATTAGCATTGTCTCTTGCAAAGCTTGGCTTTCCCATCTTGGTTACGGAGCTGGCAGAGCAGTGCCTTGTGATCATTGCTATTTCTCAGCTTGTTGAAGTTGAAGTAGCTACTTTTTTCTTTGGTAGACAGTCTTATTTAATAAGCTTTAATTTCTCACAGTTCTTTTGTGCTTTCTTATATCTTAAAGAATCGTATAGTCTGTGTTAAACGTGAGCAAAGGTATCATTTGCTTTTCTCCTTTTTATTTTGTGAAATAGCGGATTTTGGTTTTGCTCGTTACCTGCATAGTAACATGATGGCTGCAACACTTTGTGGGTCTCCAATGTACATGGTGAGTAGGTGTGTGCGTCCTTGTGTGTGTAGGGTAAAGCACCGTAAGCATTGGGATTTAAATATAGTGCTTGTTTCCAAGTAAGATGTGATTTTATATCTAGACTGAATTATTAGGAGCATTAATCATACTGATACAGACATCTTTCAGTTTAGCACAGTGGACTGTAAAAGTCATCTTTGCCCATTGGCATTTATTTTTTAAATGATTAGTTGTTAGGGTAGAAATCCCCTGTTAGATCACACTGAAAATAGACAGTGATGAAGTGTGGTTGTGCTGTACCTGATGTGTGATCTTAGGAGTATGTGAAAAAACTTTGGGGGGCACCTCTTCAGCTATAGGATGTGGTCACCTGTTGCATGTTGTTTCTTTTGATAAGATACCTGTATTGTAGAAGTGTTTTCCATCAGTGTCTTAAAGGCTGAACAATCTTGGTTTTCCTCTTTATCCTCTCATATGGATATTATGAGGTGTGATAGGGTGAGGCTGTGCAACTTCTGAACTAATGCCAAGTATTAGGCCTGTAAATATCTTAATTCTGGAACTTCAGAATCCTGCAAATTGAATAAATGTATCTATTTCAATTTTAAGATTACAATGGGTTTATATTCAAGCAGAATTTCCTCTAGTCTAAACTCAACTTTGAGATCAAGGCTAGTAATCAAAGTTCAGAGTTTTTCTGTTCCATTAGATTTACTTTTTCTTCTTTTTTCTTTTCCTTCAGGAGAAGGAAGGATGTATTAATTGCAGCGAGTAGTGGGGAACACTGGGGGTCTTTCCCAAAGCAGTGTCTCCCGGATTGATGTTTCTTCATCATAATTTTTTGCTTATTTAATAAGTTATAATTTAGTAGAATTTAAATACTATTTTGCACTTCTTGAATATGAAATTAGTTTAGCCTTGAACTAATAGCCTTGAGGATAGAATGTTTGGGCTGGTTAGTAAAGGAAATTGATACAGTAAGAAGCAAGGGACAATAAATAAAAATGTTATGCCTGGAAAATAAAGTTTTACTGTCTTTAAGGACATTTGACATTTCTATCTAATGCTTGTCTTGACTTGATGGTGTTTTTTAAAAGCATCTCATGAGAAGTGGGAAAATACTTGTAATAAAGCAACAGAAATTTTTTTTCTGCTTTTAAGACAGTTTTTATTATTGTGTTCTGCATAATAGATTTTCTATTATTTTGAATGTTTTCTAATGACAGAAAAAGGAATAATATAGCAAACACTCATGGACTCACCGTTTTTAGAAAGTAATCATTTTGCCATGTTTGCTTTGATTTTTTTTTTTAAGAAAGAAATAATGTTCCAGAGACAGTCCCGCGTGCCTTTTGTAGTCCCTCTCCCGTTTCCTTCTCCTCCTCTCATGCTCTGGACATAATCTCTGTCCTGTAATTGGTGTGTATTTGCCTTAATTATTATTCTAATACTCTTTCTGTATTTTATGTGTCCATAATATTATACAGAAATGCTGGCTTCTAAGCTCACTTCTTTTCATGCAGCATTGCTTTTGAAATTTGCAGTAAATCTCAGTGTAAGGATGCAGTTCTGTCTTTGTTGCAGTATCGTTTGATTTGGGCACCATCACAGTGTGTGGTTTTTATTTTGGTAGTTCTGGGAGGAGTGTGACCTTTTCCAGTTGATTAACACATGCGTATGAATTATGTAAATGACGTAACGCCGGGCCCTGAACTGTCCCCCCCCAGGCCCCGGAGGTCATCATGTCTCAGCACTACGACGCCAAGGCTGACTTGTGGAGCATTGGGACAGTGATATATCAGTGCCTCGTGGGAAAACCACCTTTTCAGGTACCTGCGTTTTTTTCTCATGTGCTCAGTCTGGGGACAGTCCCCTTTGACCTATAAAACTGGGAACGCAGTTGACCCTTGAACAATGTCGGGGTTAGGGGCACAGTGTAACTTTACGTCCACAGATTCAACCAACTTCAGATCCTGTGTATGTGTTTATTGAAAAAATCCTCAAACAAGTGGACCCACACAGTTCAAATCCGTGTTGTCCAAGGGTCGCTTGTACTTTGAAAGCAGTGGTTTTGGTTCCTTTGTGATTTATTCTGATTTTGCTAATAGGCGAGAACTGCTGTAGTAGGCCAGAACATCTTTTGCTTTGCCATTGTTATCTGCCTCCCTTGGTAGTTCGACCTGGCAAGCAGGCCCGTTAGGGTTTCCAGGCTGGCGGCAGCTGGCGAGGCTCAGGGTAAAAAGCCGGCGGGGAACAGGTGTGAATGGTGGCGTCGGCGCTTCCTGTCCAGCCAGGTCTTGGGGACGTGGAGTCCAAGTGAGGGCTGGGGCTGGCCTGGGAGAGCGTCCCTGGGGACTGCCTCCAGCTCTGCGCCTGTCACTGCTGGATGAGAGAGCTAATTGTTCGGGTGTTACGGGAATTATTTTCAGTAGGTCTTCCTCTCCCAGACATCCTGTCAAGAAGAGGCCTTCTAGAATATAATCATGGTGATTCCTCTCGGGTTCATACTGCCTAGCTGGAGAGAGGTTTTTTAGTCTTCTATTTTTTATTGAAGTATAGTAGATTTACAAGGTTTCAGGTGTACAGCAAAGGGATTTGGTTGTACCCATACATGCACACACATACTCTTTTTCAGACTCTTTTCCATTGTAGGTTATGACAAGATACTGAATATAGTTCCTTGTGCTGTACAGTAGGTCCTTGTTTATCTAATTTGTATATGGTAGCTTGTATCTATTAAACCCAAATCCCCGATTTATTTCTTCCCCTGCCCCCTTTCCCCACAAAGAAGTTTTTTGAATCTGAAAACTAAAATAGCAAAATTACTTCCCCAAAATGGTATTAAAAAAAAAATCGGTGACACTCCCAGATGAAACAGTTTCCCGACCTGGTTTGGACGTAGAGGCAGCTTCGCTAATTCTGCAGCCCTGACTGCGTGCTGCTTGTGACTAGGACGGGGGACTGAGAAGTAGCAGTGATCCTAGTTTTCTTCTTTGAATCCCCTGAAGGTAAAATACACCATGATTTTGCATAATAAAAATAGACCTGTTGGGTAGGCTGTGTGACCTCCAGAAGAGTGGCTCTTTCCTAATTTTCAGGCCTGTCTGGGAATCTGACCTCAGGAAAGATGCGTTTGGCCCAGATGTGCAGAATTCTCACACAGGTGGTGTAGGTTCCGGTGGGCATCTGTGGCTCCCACAGCAGGCCCTGGCTCCCGAGTTCAGAGTCTGTGTTCTGTAGCAGGAACATGAACGTCGAGCAGATGATTTGGAATTTTTGCCCCTGGTTGTTTAGGAAATTAAACCTTTTTTTTTTTTAAACAGGCCAATAGTCCTCAAGACCTAAGGATGTTTTATGAAAAAAACAGGAACTTAATGCCTAGGTATGTCTTTTCATTACACTGGATTTTACTATTTGTCAATACGGTGTTATTTATTTGAATTCTGTGCATTTTATCTATTTCTGTTGTTGAATCTTTTTTCAGTTGACAGGAAATTCATTATAACTGGAAGTTAGAAAATTACTACTGCATCATAGAGGCCGGTGTGCCGTACCATTTTCTTTCTTTTTAAAGATGTTAAGTATATTTAAAAGAAAAAGCTACAGAAGCTAAGTGTGTTCTTTGAGGGGCGGGAGATGCAGAGTAGATGGGATGAAGCAGGAGATAGATCCCCAGGCTCACTAGGGATGGCAAGAGCTTGCTGTGTATTTTTCAGTATCTGTTTTATGTGAGTTCTTCTAACACTTTTGAGTGATTGTACATTTATACACACACGTAGTTCAGGGCGACTGCTCTGCAAATTGTTGTGCAGCCCTTTCTCTCTGCAGTGTAGCATGGACGCTGTTCGGAGGCAGTGTGCAGAGAACTCCTGCAGCCTTTTACGAGGCTGCAGAGAGTCCCAAAGTTAGGTGCGTTGTGTTTTGTTTAATCAGTAAACAGATCCCTGTGTTCGTTGTTTTGGGTACTGCAGACAGGCTTTAGTGGAGAGACTATGTGTGTGTATACACACGTTCGTGAGTTAGCTGTGGTATTGCTGGGCTGAAGGATACACCCCCCCCACCCCAGATGGACTGTCCCTGTTCGCACAGCAGAGCAAGAGAGTGCTCCTTCCCCCATTCTCACCATCGCGGGCTGTTAGCAGTCTTGATGCCTCACAGAAAGGGCCCATTAGCCATTAATTTAACTGGCATTTTTCTCCTTGCCGGTGAGGTTGGTCTCTTATTTGTTAAACGTCCTTTTATAGTTTTTATTCTGTGAATTGTGTATTCCTGTTACTCATTTTTTATTGCCTTGCCCTTGTTTTTAAAATTGGATTTCAGGAAGCTGTGTTATTTCTCACTTGTATTTATTTAAGCTCTGCCTTTCCAGGCAGAATTGGAGGTGGCTCTTTTTCTAACAGAAGTCTGTAGCAACTATTAGTGCAAGGTTGAAATTGTGTTAAAACTCAAGATTGTGCTTGTGAAGTTCTTTATTCCTACAGCTGTTCCCAGAACAGCAGTAAGAAGCACAAAACGAGAGTCTTCCCAAAGTGGTGCAGCGTTAAAGGCAGTTGCTTAGTGGGGTTTTTTCCCCTTTAAAAAATGAGGCTTTACCATGGTTGTCTTAGTATAAAATGTGGTATTTGTGAAACTGCATATACATTTTCATTTACCATAATGAAGGCAAAAGTCATGCAGTTAATACATACCAACTCACCACTTAGGTTCTTTTTTTTTCTCTTTCCCCCAGCATTCCCAGAGAAACATCACCTTATTTGACTAATCTCCTTTTGGGTTTGCTGCAGAGAAACCAGAAAGATAGAATGGATTTTGGTAAGTAATGTTTCCAGATTTTGTATGCTAATTTCATTTTTGTGTATTCTGAAAAGATTTTTTGAAAGAGATACTGTAGAGGTTTCAGAAGAAAATGAATATCAGTTTCACTTTTTTCTATTTCTTTTTCTTTTTTCTTTCACATATCTTGTAAACTTTTATTCAGTGTCTACTGTGTTCCAGATGCAGGGGATAGAGAAGTAAACAAAATCTCAGTCCTCATGATGCGTGTATTCTAGTAGGGGGGGCACAAATTAGAAACTGCAATACATGCTGTATTAGGAGGTGATTTATCACCTGTGGGGAAAATGGAGGAGGAGGAGAAATGGGCATGGAGGGGATTGAGATTTTAAATAAGGTGGTCAGTGAAGCCCTTTCTGACAAATGGCGTTTGGACAGAGACCTTGTTGGCAGGCAGAGGTTGTGAGCCCGTGGTTATCTGTGGGAAGAGCGTTCAGGACATGTGAAAGACCAGTACAAGTGCCCAGAGCTGGGAGATGCCACAGAAGCTGGAGAAGCAGCTGGGAGGCCAGTTAAGACTTGGGCCTTTGCCCAAAGTGTGGGGGGAACCATTGGAGGGCTTTGAGCAGAGGACTGATATGACCTGATTAGTGTTTTAAAAAGGATCAGTCTGGTTGCTTGTTGAGAGCAGACTGTGGTGAGGGACACTGGGGTTGGGGGCAGGAGCTGGGAGACGAGCCAGGGCCCCGTGGCAGTGCCCAGGTGAGAGACTGGGCACAGCAGTGGAGGTGGTGCCGGGAAGTGGTTACACTCCACATCTTTTTGGAGGTGGAGACGACAGCATTTAAGGGTGGATAGGATGTGGGTATGAGAGAAACAGAAGTCAAAGGTGACGCCAAGGCTTTTGGCCTGAGCGCCAGCAGAAGTGGGACTGTCCGTCAGAGATGAAGAGACCTCCTGCACTAAAGCAGGCCAGCGGGCAGGATTGGGAGTTTAGATTCGACACGCTACATTTAAGATACCCATTTGACATCTCAGTGTAGATGTCAGAAGGGCACTTGGATTTCAGAAGAGAGGTCTAGGCTGGGGACATATTTGGGGAAAGATCTGGGAGGAAGAAATGGAGGAGAAGCCCCCCAGAATTCTGATAGAAAAAATGACAACTGTAAGATGCGGTTTGGGGAGGGGCAGCTCACCACAACTAGGAGGGTGGGCTGTGGGCGGTTCTCGGAGGCCATGTCTTAGCATTTATGGTTCCCAGGGCGAGAGCTTGTATCGCTGATTCCGAGCCTTTCTCCTTTTATAACATAAGCACTTAAAGCTAAAAATTTGCCTCTAAGTGCTCCAACTTAGCACAGTCTGTCTTCAAGTAATATTTTGCTACTTCATGTGTAATGAAAGAACTTGGAATGCTTAATATTGTTGAGATTGCCCAGTTTTTGAAGGTTTTGAAAGAAGCCCTGAAACTGGATCTCAGCTCCTCTCTTGGGTAATAGTTTGTTAAGTTATTCTTATCAATCTTACATAAAAACAGCAAGACTTGAAAATAACAGGCCAGAAAAACTGTAAACCATGTTTAATGAAAATGTTTATCAAATTAATCCTCATCTTCAAATTTTTAGGGGAGAAAAGTGATTTTTCCTGTAGTGATAGTTGTAATAATAATAGAGATTTGCACAAATTTATTCCAGAATTTTGGCTTGTTAATGTGTATTATAGAATTTCACATGAGTTTCTGGATGAGACATTCTGGGGTTTGAATTCTAGGCCCTCAACTTACTAACTAGCTTTTTGACACTGGGGAGGATACATGACCTCATGTGGGTTAACTTTCTTATACACAAAGGGGATACGGTGCAGGACGTTGGTGAGGACTAGAGCAGGGACTTGACGTCCCAGTAAATGTTCTCAGGGGAGACAGCTCTAGTAGTTTCTACACAGGGGAAAGATGAGTCTGAATATACCTCTTAAAGCTTTGTTAAGATTGAAATTAAACTTTAGTTCATGTAGTTGGTAAGTATTTTTATCTTTCAGAGGGAGAAATTAAACTGAGAGCTGCTCTGTACCATGAGAAATGTGGGCCGGTAGTGAGACAACATGCATACAGGTTCACAGTTTCAAGATTATCGGTTGTGTTAAATATTCATATACTTTCCATACCATGACGATGGATTCGGAAGCTTGTTTCTGAGTATTTGTATTTAGTCAATCTAGTTTATTTTTGTCTTTTCTATTTCATCCCTTCTGTGTGCTTTGTAAAAGTCAGCATAAAAACATCTTGTATATATATAAATTAATTTTTGTTCTAAAAAAGATCTAAGGTAGAAAACTCAGGTCTCTCTTCAGAATCCTCCACACTTCAGTTTCTTAGCAAGTCTCGTGATTGATGCTTACTCTGATTTTGGGTATTTGTCTCGGTGAAATTCGTGGGGTCCTTCCAAGTGTAATTTAGACGAAACCTGAGTTAGGCTCATTCCTGAGCCTGTGTCCCCTGGTCAGCCTGCACGCTGGTGCTGTGCCATTCCGCCCACTCCGCACTACTGAGCAGCGTGCAAGTCAGAGACGCACCGATAAATGAGATGAGCTTCATGGGTTTGTAAAGAAATAATGAAATAAGTTGCAGATACAAGAAAATAAAGAGTAAAGGAATGAACTGCCATGTATTCACCTACTTCTTTATCATTATCTAAGTAGCATGTATATTGTGTAGATTTTATCCTTGGTGGATAGAAATGAAATAATAGTTTCCTTAAAAATGAGAAACTAGCTATAGGAATACTTCTTCTGGGATAGAGGGCTGGAATTTGATGCACAATTCAGCTGCTGGAGATACCCTGTTAGGACAGGTGACAGCCACTGTTCACAGATGTGCTTGTGGAGGGCCTGGTCCCAGTTCCCCATACGGTTGTCTGCCCGGGGACAGCACACGCCAGGACGCCTCCACCTGACGTCACCTCGGGGGTGCTGTGTTGGTAATGGACCTTTTGAAAATTCACCTCCATTTAAATTTTTCATTGATTGAGAATTACTTATAACTTGATGATTTTTACAGAGGAGTTATAAAAATAATATGCTTTTACATTTGAAGGAAATGGGGTCTATATAAAGAAGTTAATATTAACTGTGTATGATCTCAAGGGTATCACGTTGTCTACATGGACAGGGTTAACCTGTCTGCTAATCACATCACTTTAAAGACTGCATTCTCATTTTCCATTACAGAGGCGTTTTTTAGCCATCCTTTTCTTGAGCAAGTTCCGGTAAAAAAATGTGAGTATCACTTTTTATATTTCTACTTGGAGAGTAAATACAAGCTTAAGGAAAAACTAGTATTTGCTATTCCTTTTTTATGTGCTTCTCAAAATGTCATTGAGCTTTTCTTAAATACTTGTAGCTGTGTTTATTTAATACCAGTTCGTTTTTCCTTCTTAATCTAAGTTGAAATGGTTTCAGTCATTGGTGCACTTTTATTTTCAGCCATGGTGGCTGTAGGCAGTAGGTGAGGGTCAGCACAAAGCTGTGGGGGTTCGACAGGGTCGCTGGTGGGCAGGTCACGTGACTGCGCTAACCGCGGCACTCCCGCCGCTGTGTCTTCCGCAGCCTGCCCGGTCCCTGTGCCTGTGTGCGCCGGCTCTGTGTCTAGAAGCACCTGCGGCAGCTCTCCGCCTTGCCGTTTTGCCTCTCCACCAGTAAGTTCTGGTTTTATTAAAAATCACATTAGAGTCTGTGCTGTTGCACCTGCTCACAGAGCCTGAGGGCATTCGCAGACGGCCGTGGTATGGACGCTCCTCTGGTGTGCGGCGTTAGCTGGCGCAGCTGAGGCTGCGGGCAGGAGCGCTTCTGCTGGGCCGCTGGGTCCTGGACGTGGGCCTCTGCTCTCACGGGCTGTGTGAGCCGTCCCCTCTCAGCAGGGAGCATGGCGCGCTCACCTTTCCACACCCCGTGCGGCTGGGGAGAGTGACCCTGTGACAGGGGTGGGTAGTCCGTGTTTCCTGGGTCTGACTGTCACGAACATCAGTCTGGGTACGCATCGCACACAGAATTCCCAGCGGTGGAGGGGTGCCCTGGGCTGGACTTCACTGCCGTAGACCCCCTGCATCATGGTCGCTGGCCCCAGCCTCTTCCCTCCCCAGGGTTCCCCGAGCTGTGTCCTCCGTGACCATCTTCCCTCCAGTCTCAGTGCTTCTTCCTGGTCGCTTCCGTCACAACTTCTTCCTGCTCCTCTCTCCCAGGTTTTACCTCACCCTGTTCTGTGCTTTTCTAGACTTCCCCACATCTCTCCCCGCCTGAGAGGGTTGTCATAGGCCAGAGTCCAAGGGCTCTTGTGTCAGCCGCTGCGGGCATTTTCCACATCGGCCTGGCAGGGCTGCGCTTCTTGAAATTTACTGGCAGAAGGGTTGGGGAGCTGTAAAGGGAGGCGACTGTGTGACTAGCAGGTTGAGGCTTCAGAGGATGAGGTGTGGGAGCCTCACCTGCCAAATTAACTAGGACAAGTGACTTAACCTCTCTGAGCCTGTTTCTCATATGTGAAGTGAGCATAATTTACCTGCTTCATAGGGGTTTTAAGGATAGATGAGCAAAAGCTGTGCGGTGCCTGGCACATAGTAAACGCTCAGTAAGCTGCAGGCGCTGTTGTCATTACAGTCCAGGGAAACCCAGGAACCCACAGTTAAAGCAGATGCCAGAGCAGCCTGTTGTAAACAGATGAGTCCTGAAACCTGCAAAAAACCCTTTCTGCACAGCCCTGCAGACTCCAACCAAACAGGAAAAGCAGATGGACTAATCAGACTTACGTTACGTTCCCATGAATGGGTGAAACAAAGACGGAATGTTGCATATTTCCTGTTCCAGTCTGGAATATAGGAAAACACTGGGCTTAGAGTGACTGGGGAGAGGTATAGGGAAGTGTACTGATGTGGGAAGACTCTAGGCTTTATCCGGAGCCAGGCAGGAGTGGCCTCGGTGCTGGCCCTGCCATGTGCCCACTGTGACTTAGGGCAGGACAGTTCCAGAGTGGATCCTTGGCTTCCTCATCGTCATGTAGGCCTGATTAGCCTTTGTTTGGAGCGGGGTAGGTAGTAGCGTGTGGAAGGTGCACCACAGTGAGCACTGGGGAAACTAGCCAGGGTGACCTGCCACACCTGTACCTGCCACCAGCTGGCATGTGGTATGGACAGCAGGGACTGCTGGAGAAAGGACAGCAGGGAACGGAGGCGGGGGGGTCCTGACTGTGGGAACCACGTGGATGGCGGGGTGACCAAGGGATGAGGAAGACACCCTGAGGATCGCTTTGACAGGGGAGCGCGTTGGGGTTTTATTGGAGGGCACACACTGAAAAGGAGAGGGAGATGGGGTGAGGCTTGCTGCTGGGAGGAGGGAGGAGACATGTTTAAATGCTCAGAACTTTGGTGGAAAAGCCTCTTTTGAAGGCCTTTATGAAAAGCTAATGCTTGAAGTGGAAATAAAAAGGGAAGTGAAAACAAAAGGCGAGCAGGATGTTTCTATATCACTTCCAGCTGGTGAGGCTGGAGAATGGGATGTTTGAGAACCGTGCCTTTCCCATAATCTGCAGAGTGAGATGCTTTCCCATGTGCGTTCCCGCCCTTCCTGGGGCTGGAGTAGCCCCTGCTGCTGAGGGCCGGTCCCTGCAGGCACATGCATCCAGCTGCTTGCTATCCCAGGGAAGTCTTTGACAAGCAGAAGCAAAACCACTGTAACCAGAAGTTCACATCACTCTTTTAGTCACGATACTGGCCATAGGCCACGTGCCGTTTAGGTGATGGCTCTGGGTACTATTGGTTTAATCACATTTGTTAAGTGCCTGCTTTATGTGAAGTTCTGGCTGATACCAGTGAAAGAGAGGGTGGGGTCCCTTGCACTGAGGAGCTTTTAATCTAAGTGTGTGGGGAAGAGGCAGATCGACCAGCACTGTTAGGAGCATATGTGGTCATGGCTTTATTGCCTGTAGGAGTGTGGATGAGGACTTGAAATCAGACTGAGAACTTGGAAGCATGCTCAGAAGAGGGCACTGAGCTGAGTTTTGAGGAAAGAGCAAGGTGAATTGGTCAAAGAATGGCGTTGTAAGCACAGGAGTCCCCGTGGACCCATGGCCCGCTGAAGGAATCTGGAGCCCCCCTTGGTCACTTCAGTTTGTGAGAACCAGTGAAACATGGATTCAATTCCTTCGTCTCCCAGGCCACGTTTTGTGCTCAGCAGCTGTGTGTAGCTAGCGGCGGCCACTCCGGGCAGCCAGGTATGAACTGTCCCGTCACTGCAGGGCGTCCATCTCCGGCAGTCCAGTCTGGCAGGTGTGTGGAGTGCTGGGATGGGGTGAGGGGACGACAGAGCCAGAGGGGCCAGAGAGGCTGCGCCTCAGTGGGATTTGGGCCCTGAGCAGAGGAGGTGACACGTTCGTGCTGAGCCATTTGAATGATTTTAAGTGGAGGCGTGCTCCAATCCACTGTATGTTACTGAGTCTTCTGTAAGCAGGGGGAGGGCTAGGTTGGAGACGAGTAGAGCAAAGAGATCAGCCATGGCCACTGCAGAGTTTTTGGTTTGTTTTTGGTTTTGTTTCTGTTTTTTTGAGAATGAGGGCCTGAACTAAGTCAGCAGTACGGCAGGGAAAGACGGGGGGCCAGGCAAGAGAAAGGTAGCAGTTTGTGGAGCTTGGACATTTCTTGAACTTAGGACCTAAGGAAGAGGGAGATTTGATGGGGCTTGCCTGAGTGGGTGGCCCTCGATGAAGCTGTGAGGAGTGGAGGCCCAGGGTGTGCCCTGAAGAATCCATACTCTAGTCCTCTCCTCTGAGTGCACATGAGACTGAGAAGTAGGAGGGACGACAGGAGAGCCGGTCCTGGAGCGGAGGGGCCGCAGGTCAGGGGAAGAACAGCCACCGCGCAGGGGGAGCAGAGAGAGGTGTCCACGGGACAGGGCAGTGGGAGTGATCAGTCAGCTCAATAACGGCAGTTTTAGTGGAGGCTTGAAGGCAGGAAGTGGATTGTGCTGGGCTGAGGGTTCTCAGCAGTGAGGAATCTGGGTCAGAGGGGATCGAAATTTCAGGAGACATTGTTAAGTGAAGACGTGAGAAGATGGCTCTTGAGAGGGCTGCAGGGATTTGAGATGTGACAGAGTTAACCATGCTGATGTGCAGAGGGGAGAAGCCTGAGTAAAGGGAGAGGGTGAAGGTGTCAGGAGCAGAGGGAGTCGATCTGGGTCCTTAGGATCTGGGGAGAGTGGAAATAGAGCACAGGCGGAGAGACAGGCTTAGAATGCGAGGAGCGTCTCCCCCACTGGAGTGGTCGTGGATGGAGACGATTTTATAAAGAGCAAAGGAAGAAACCAAAAGAGCTCCTGCCTGGAAGGAAATTGTGGATTAGATACTTGGAATCCCGCCAGCTCCACTGCCCTTGAGTTGTGTGATCGCGGGCAAATTTCCTAATCTTCCAAGTTTTGTTTATTTGTATGTGAAATGAATTTCAGGATAGGGCTGAAGTCAGATAATACACGGAAAGTTCTTAGCAGTGCCCGGCCCACGCTCTGTGATGTTAGTCCCTCCACCTTCTCTTCCCTTTGTAACCTTGTTGCATAAATTCTTTTCAGAAAGTGGTAAGGAGATTTCATGTTGTGTGTATGTCGCACACACCCACAGGAGTAATAAGGAGATTTGAGATTGATTTCACTGTGCAGTGACATTCAGACTTGGGTTTAAAGAGCATTATGTGGTATTTTTCCTTTTCTTAGATAGAAACAAAGGTTAAACAGGGCGGTAGGAGCCTAACACAGTAAGTTACGAAGTTGATTGTTTCAGGACACCGTTGTACATTCAACTGGAGTTGTCACTGGTGTCCTTGAACTGGGCGAGTATCAAGGGGGTCACAGCTGCTTACGCCCCAGTGTTTGCTCAGGTATATTCATATGCTCTTCTTCCCTTCCTGTCCCATCTGCCCCAAACCAACTCCCCACCAACAAAACAGAATCACAAGGAACACCGCCCACACCTGCAAGGTTTTCTGTGTCTTCTTTCTGTGAATGTAGGTAAATCTCTAGGCTTACATGCAGCTATCCTTACTGATCTGTTAACATTTCTATATTACATGGGCTCTTGCTTTCCCTCTTAGAATGTTTTCTTCCTCGGAGATTTGAAACTGTGTGTGTGCAGGATGTTACTAATTTAAAGTCCCTGGACATTTTGTTTTCGTCATTAAGCGAACAGTTATTGAGTATCTGCTTTGCTCGGCCACGAGCTGAAACAGGGGACGTTGAGATGATGAAAACCCCCGTAGACATTTCAGGAGAGGCAGACATGTACATGCAACAAGTGGTGTGATATATTTTTAAGTATCATTTTAGCAGTCATTATGCAAAGACACTGTAAGCTGTGCTTGTCTAAGGGAAAGATTTTTCCAAAGAGATATTTTAAAATTTTAAATGAAATTGAACCCTATGCCCACTTTCAGGAGGAAAATATTCCTTAGTCTAAAGGCTATTCTGACTTGCATTTTATTACTAGGCCACTTTTAATTTTATGTTGTTAATTTTAGTCCCTTCCAGATATGCAGCATATTCAGGAAGAAAACTTATCCTCCCCACCATTGGGTCCTCCCAACTACCTACAAGTGTCCAAAGATTCTGCCAGTACTAGTAGCAAGAACTCTTCTTGTGACACGGATGACTTTGTTTTGGTTCCACACATCTCGTCAGACCACTCATGTGAGAATCTTTTCTGCTTATACACGTTATATTTCTTAATTTACTAGACTAGCATTTTTTAACTTTTATATCACGCTCTCTTGTGTAGGACACTTTTTCAAATGGACATTTTATTTAGTTGATGGAATTCCCAGAATTATATACCTACCTTCCTGTAATCTGCTCAGTCACTTTCCATAAAACAGTAACTTTGGGTTCTGAAGGTAGATGAGAACGCTATAGAAAATGATCTCAAATTCTCTTTGTATCCAAACAGAAAGGAGTGGAGAAGCCAGCAGAAAGAGAGAAGTTAAATTCAAGGAAATGAATTAAAGGAAGACCTCTTTTGGAAAAAACTGGGGGTCGAAGGGTCTTAAACACGGGAGGCACTGGCCTAAGTTCAGGAGTGAGCTTCATAAATACACAGGAAGAATGTTTATAAAGGATGCAGAATCCATGCTGACTAAATACAGCCAGGGTTTTGTGGAATCGTGAGGGGTACTGGAAAACCTCAAAAAAAGAGACGAAATAGATCGGAAAAGCTGGAAATTTGACTACTTTAATAACTGAATAACACCAGGTTGACAGTGCGCAGGTCCAGATGGTGGGGAAGGTTGTGTCGGGGCCTCTGTCATTTGTCAGACTCCTGTGTGGTGGCTGCCGTGTCGGCCGCCGTGCAGTTGTTGTGCGGGCCCGATCCCCAGACCCCACAGACTTCAGGACTCGCTGGCGGGGCAGGGGAAGCACGCACCGCATCGCAGCAGGGCGGGTTGTCCTCAGGAGCGGCCTTTAGAAGTCGTCCTGTATGGTGGTGGTAGTTACTTTGCTAAAAAAAGTAATTAAAACTTTAAAAATTGTGAAATGTTAAAAATAGTAATACAGCAGATACTCAAATCATCCACCATGCTAATTTTATTTATGCTAACATTTTGCCATGCTTTCTGTCTTTTAAAAGATAAAATTCTACAGGCGCAGCCAGAGTCCCTCACCTCATTCTGCTCTTGCCAGAGATACAATAATTCCAATATGCTTGTATCCATAAATAACATACAGCATTTCTGTGATTTTACAGTTTTAAGTAAATGTTATATAGAATGTTTGTTTCTGTAGTTTGCTTTTGTGTTCATATTTTTGCCATGTATCTAGATACATACCTAGATGTGTATCTGGTTCATTTTAGTATATGAATTTTATAGTACAGCTAAACCGTAATTTTATCCATTTCCTAACTTCATTGTGACTTGAATTACTTTTATCTTTTTCAGTTTTTTTTTGTATTTAACTTTACCTGGAATTCATTTTTGTAGATGGAATTAGTTACCCCAGCATTATTTATTGAATATTCTGTCCTTTCGTCATAGATGTGCGACTCCAGATTTGTCACTGTGGGCTTGTATGAAGGATTTGTTTTACTGTGTGACGTGGGGGTGGAGGCAGTGGTGAAGGGCATCCTGGAATTCTTTGGAATCACCAGCTATTCCTGGTCCTGTTTCCCTTACCTACTCCACCCCCCCAACCCCCAGCCCACACAGTTTAATTTCAAGTTGACAGATCCTCCAGAAAACCATTTGGAGATTTTGATCAGAATTGTATTGACCGTGTAAGATCTATTCAGGGAGAACTAGAATCTTTTCAGTATTGTCTACTCAAAAATGTGTGTTTCTCCCCTTACTTAGGCTTCCTCAGTGTGTTTGGATGCATATTTGTACTTTTCTGCATAAAGGACTTTCACATCTTTTGTTTTATTCTAGTTACCTTTGTTGTTATTGTTTTGTTTTGTTTTTGGCTTTTTGTGGTTGTGTAAATGTTGTCTTAAATTTTTTTTTCCCGAAAACTACTCCTGTTGAAGTCGTTTTGTGCTGCCAAATCCTGGGGGTCCCTTCTCAGTCCTTTTTGATGTGTCCACAGCATCTGTTAGGGTTGAACCACACCTTTCCATTTAATTATTAAAAACATGTTATTGTGAAATGTACCATACACATGAGAGTTTTTGGCTTGTAATGTTTGTTTTATGAGAAGGAGGGAATTAGGTTTCTTCGTCGAGTTCCGCTTGGAGGCGGTACCGGGGATTGAACCCCTGACCTCTTGGGTGCTGAGCATGTACTCTACCACTTGAGCTATACCCTTCCCTGAGATAGTTTTTGAAGTGTTACTTTTTTTAGGGCAGTTTTAGGTTATACAACAAAACTAAGAGGAAGGCACAGGGATTTCCCATGTACCCCGACCCCTTATGTGCAGAGCCTCCCCACTGTCAGCCTCATTCACCAGGTGGTACGTTTGTTACCAAGGATGAACCTGCATTGACACGTCATCATCACCCAAAGTGCTTGGTTTAGCCTTCACTCCTGGTGTACTTTCTGTCCATTTGGACAAATGTCTAGTGACATGTAACCATCATTGTACTATTAAACAGAGCTTTTTCACTGCCTTAAAAATCCTCTTGTGTTCTACCTAGTCTTTCTCCCACTACCTTCTGGAAACCACTTTTTTTTTTTTTTTTGTCTCTACATTTTTGCCTTCTCCAGAATATCATGTAGTTGGAATTAAACAATATGTAGCCTTTTCGAATTGGCTTCTTTTACTTTGTGATATGCACTTGAGATTGCTCCATGTCTTTTCATGGTTTGGTAGCTCATTTTTTTTTTCTTTAAATGTAAGTACTGGAGATTGAACCCAGAACCTCATGCATGCTAATTACGTGCTCTGCCGCTGAGCTGTACCCTTCTTCCCAGCGCATTTCTTTTTAGTGCTGAGTCATATTCCATTGTCTGGATGGACCACAGTTTGTCCATCCATCTTCTGAAGAACATCTTGATTACTTCCAGGTTTTGGTAGTTTTGAGTAAGTCTGCTATACACATCCATGTGCATGTGTTTGTGTGGATATGAGTGTTCAGCTCCTTTGGATAAATACCAAGGAGTGTGATTTCTGGATGGTATGATAAGATTATGTTTAGTTTTGTGAGAAACCACCAAACTGCTTTCCAAAGTGGCTGCACCATGTTGCATTCTCACCAGCAGAGTTCCTGTTGCTCCACACCCTCAGCATGGCTTAGTGCTGTCCGTGGTCCAGGTTTCCGCCGTTCTAGTGAGTGCGTGGTGGTGCCTCGCGCCGGACTTTTCGTGTCTCTGATTCACTATCCACGTATCTTCTTTGGTGAAGTGTTTCTTAAGATCTTTGGCCCATTTTTAAATTGGGTTTAACTGGTCTTTAATTGTTTATCCTAATTTGTTGAGTTCTTTGCATATTTTGGATGACAGTCCTTTATCAGCTCTGGCTTTTGCAAATATTTTTGCCTAGTCTGTGGTTTCTCTTCCAGTTCTCTTGATACTGTCTTTCAGAGAGCAGTTGTTTTAATTTTAATTTAGTCTAGCTTATTAATCAATTTCTTTCTTTCATGGATTGTGTCTTTGGTGTTGGCATGACAATACCCAGGTTCATTTAGGTTTTCTCCTGTTATCGCCTAGGAGTTTTATAATTTTTGTTTTACATTTATGTCTGTGAGTTGTTTTGAGTTAATTTTTTTTGAAGGATATAAGGTCTTTGTCTAGATTAATTTTGCTTTGTTTTGTTTTTGCATGTGAATGTTGAAAAGACCGTATTTGCTCCATTGTATTGTCTTTCTCTCTGTCAAAGATCAGTTGACTATTTATGGGGGTCTTGTTTCTGGGCTCCCTGTTCTGGTCCATTGATCTTTGTTCTGTTGCCGATTCCACACTGTCTTGATTACCACAGCCTTACAGTCAGTCCTGATGTCAGGCAGTGTCCATCCTCCAGCTTTGTTCTTCCCGGTGCTTCTGGGCTGTGACCGTCACCAGTGTTTCAGTTCCTTCCTCCTGCCTTAGGTGGAACAGGATGGCTAGAGGCAGCTGCAGTTGGGTGTATCCCACCCCCCAGGTCAGTTAGGCTCTGAGTTTCACCCCAGCAGATTGAGCTCTGGGTAACCCCTTTTCCCTGAGCTTGGGCCTTGTGAAGCAGAAGGGAGTGCTCCTTGCCCCTCCCATGCCTGGAGTAGGAAGGGGTTTTCTCCAGCATTTGCCGTGGGAGCTGTAGGAGCCGGGATGAGCTCCTGGAGGCCAGTCTGACAGCTTTGTGATCCTTCCTACGACTGCGTCTCCCTGGTGCCTTTAACTACCAAAGGTGTGCGCACTGAGCGTCCAGCAAGTTGTCAGTCCCGGCTCCAGTGCTCCTGCCTGGCCCCCGGCGGCTCCTCTCTGGTCAGCTGCTGTCTGCCTGTCTCTTCGGTCTTGGGGGCAGAGGTCAGCCCACTGCCCTCCCCCCTCCTGTGGATCCCAGAAGAGCCGTTGATTTTCTGTTCTGTCCCGCTGTTCACTTGCTGCTGGGATGGCATGGCGACTTCAGCGCTCCTTACATGCAAAACCAGGGCTGAGTCCCCAGAAGAGGTATTTGCAACATGGTACAAAACACGCTAGTAGAAAACACCTGAGTACACTCCTGATTTTCTTACCTTTTTTGTCTGATTTTCCATCTTTTTTGCTCTACTTTAAGGGAAACTTCCTTAATGTTTTCTTCTAACTCTTGTTGACAAAAAAGTTACCAGTAGTCAACCTAAGAAAGAAATGGAAATTTTTATTTGTGCCAACTTGAGGATTTTTAACCGATGAGATTGTCTTTCAGAAGCTCTGAGGACCTTTCCTCCTATTAGAGGTGAAAGCACAGTTGTATAAGTTTTTGAGATGAGGGGTTATACATCAGACGACATACTGACCACTGCACAATCTGGGTCTGTACGTACAGAGTGAACAAGGGTCACTGTGACCCTTCACAAGATTAGGAGGAGGGTTATCTCCTAAGGAGGTCTGGTTAATGCAGATGCAGCACACACTAGAGAGGGGAGGAGGCCCAAATGGGCAGAGGAAATTTTTATTTAAAATTTACTCATCTTGCCATAAAATACGCGTTTTACTTCATCACTCTTTTATTGAGTTTCTCACTTACGCTCTCATATTTTTACTTTTCAGAAGCACTTTTTATCCCCCCTCTGAGTATTGTTTTTATTTCAAGGTGCGGTGTTTTATCTCTAAGGGTATTAAATACATACTTTTTTTTCTATTTTTCCTTGGAAAATATTTGTTTAGTCTTTTTTATACCCCCCCCCCAGTTTGTTTTGGAGTCTGGTTTTCATTTTGGATTCTTTCCTTGGATGTTTGGTGGTTGTTAGATGCTCATAATTAAGAATGGGCAATTAAAACATTTGAAAGCTTTGTACAGGTGGGTCTAATGCCAGTCTACACTGGGCGACATGGCTGAGTGATTGTCTTGGATTGGAATGCTTCCTTTTTGGAGGGCTGTTCAGATCCCCAGTGAAGACTCAGCCAGTCTTCTGCGTGAAGAGTGTACACCTGATTCCCTGTGAGGGCCAAGCGGGGGAAGAAGGCTGGAGGTCTCAGTGGTCTGTGTGAATAAGCTGTCACTTACAGCCCCTCCCCCAGCCACTTCTCCCTGTTTACCACTGCCTTCACCTTGGCCAGGATTTCACAATCCAGAGACCCTGTCCCAAGTGTAAACATCTGTCTTTTCCTGCAGTGGGGGATTGGCATTGCCTGTCTGCACGGAAATGGTGAGAAAGGATAAGAAATCCTGCTTCCAAGTTGACCTAATCCTTTCGGTCTTGGGCTCAGTGCCACGTTGAAAGTTACCTGGCACTGCTAATTACTTGGCTTTTTGGGGACCTCTGGTATACATTGGTTTACTTCTGAGCTTTCCTTCTGCCGGCTAAGGATCCCGTGTTCCTGGGCCTGCCCTGTCAGACAGCACCTGCATCGACTTTCTAGCTTGCAGGTGTTCATGGCTGTTGACTTCTCTGTTCTTTTGCCTTTTTTCTCTCCTTCCCTCTTGGCCTGTAGTTTCTGATAACATTTTTGTGGTAAAGAGGTGACGCTAGGGTCCCTAACGACCATGCAAGATCTCTGTCTTCTGGATGTCCCGTTACATTGCCCAGTTTAAGTCACTTGAAAGTGTTCCCCTCCGGTGCTCATGCTTCCAAGTTCTTATGTGATGAGGTTTCTTCACTTAATTTTATTTCTGATTCCTAGGGATTGCTCTGTTCCTTTGATTTAATCTTGTTTCATAAGGATGTATGGTTCCAAACTCAGAGGTACACTCAGTGAGCCTGCGCTCTCAACCCTGCCACTCTGCCGTCTCCTCCATTCCCCGTAGGCAGCTGTTTTCTTTAAAATCACTCCTTCCTTTCTCCTGCCTTCATTCCCTTACCCTGATTTATTTTCCTTTTTACATCTCATCACTCCCTGGCGTTATTAGCTTCCTTCCCTACTGGAGTGTGAGCTTCATGAGAGCAGGGACCTTGTATGCCGAAGTAAACACATTTCTCACTTCTCACATAGGGCCCATTCAAAGGGACATTTGTGATTGTTTTTTCCTTTTTGAGTGTTTTGAGGTTAGCATGGTTTATTTTATTTTTTAAAATTTGTATTACTTGATTAACAGTACTTTTTCACATCAACACACACTAAGTATACCTTTGCAGCCATTTAAGGACCACACAGGGCAGTGTGACCTAGTGTATAGCAGTGACCGAGTGAGGGCCCCTGCGTTCTGAGCTGTGCTGTTCCCATAAACGGATGATGTCTGAGCAGAGGAAGATGCCCTGTGGCCTGGGGCATCTGTGTCTGAGAGGCCCCGCTTCCATGGCATCTTGTTCAGCAACCCATACAGGACCCAAGAGAGGGTCTCGCAGGAGAATGGGGTACCCCAGGGTTAGAGTGAATGAGACTCGGTTTACAGGTAGCTATGCTAGAACGTGACATAACGTCTTCCTAGAGATCACCACACCCTGCAGAATTGTTCAGTAAAAACCAGAGTTCATGGGCAGATTGGGATCGGGGGCATAACACTCAAAACCTTTGTCAGTGATATATTAAAAGGAACATGATAAAAACGGTAGCACCAATTCCGCACACGTTAAACGGTGAAGAAATACATACACACCTCATAAATGTGATGACAGTTGACCTTGGAAAGGCCTGGTGCTTGTAGTCTGTGAGTTCAGCTGGGTGCAGTGTTCTGTGTTCACATGCTGTAACACAAGATAATCAAGTGATAAATTTGTACTGTGCTCAAATGTTTTCCCTAATAATCACGTTGGAACAATGTACATTTTAAAGCAGGTGGTATAGCAGAACTGACTGTGTTTTTCTTTTTCCTTTAGATGATACGCCAGTGGGAGCTGCTGGCAGACATGCGTCCAGTGAGTTCTTGGTGTGTGGAGGGTATGTTTGCATATATTTAACTAAAAGATTTTACATACTTTGCTTTTTGTTTGAGTGAAGTTATAGAACTTTATGTTCTTGATTCTAAAATTAAATTGTTTCACAATTTATTACTTCTAAAAAAAATTTAACTGTGGTAGAAAACACATAAAATCTGCCATTGCAACCATTTTTCAGTTTGAGTTCAGTACTAGTGTTAAGTGTATTCACAGTGCTGTGCGCCAGATCTCCAGGACTGTTCCTCCTGCAGAACTGAAGCTCTGTGCTCTTGTGTAACCGCACCCCCTCCCCCCTCCCCAGCCACAGGCACGGGAGCCACCACACTGTTTTTTGTCTCTTAATTTGACTACTTCGGGTACCTCATTTAAGTAGAATCACGCAATGTTTTTCTTTTTGTGACTGGCTTAGTTCACTCAGCATAATGTCCACAAGTTTCATCCTTGTCAGAGTTTCCTTCTTAAGGCTGAGTACTACCCATTGTATGTATATGCTACATTTTGTTTATCCATCATTTGTTGGTTTGTGTCTGCCTCTTGGCTGTTATAAATAATGCTGCTGTGAAAGATGAATGTGCAAAGATCTGTTCAAGAGCCTGCTTTCAGTTCTTTTGGACAGATACCCAAAAGTGGACCTGCTGGGTCATATGGTAATTCTGTTTTAATTTTTTGAGGAGTTCCATAGCAGTTGCACCATTTTACATTCCTACCAGTAGTGCACAAGGGATCCAGTTTCTCCACATCTTTACCAACATATGTTAGTTTCTGGTTTTTTGATAACTGCAGTTCATTGCAGTTTTGATTTGCATTTCTCTAGTGTAGTTTTGAGCATTTTTTTCATATACCTGTTGGCCATTCGTAGATCGTCTTTGGAGAAATTATCTGTTCAAGTCCTTGCTCAATTTTTAATCAGGTTATTTTTTTGTTGCTGGTTGTAAAAGTTCTTTATATATTTTGGATATTAACCATTTATCAGATATATGATTTACAAGTATTTCCTCTGCGCCCAGACCAAAAGTACACACAGGCATAGGGGATAGGATATCAGAACATCTTTTTAACTAAAAACGTTTTTGGTTTTACTTTGGTTTTTGTTGTTATTTCTTCTTTCTTTTCTTTTCTTTTTTTTCAGTAGTTTTAGGATATCAGCCTTTGAAGACTGAGTTACTGGCTGTAGATGGAGGCCAGTTGTGTGTGCGGCCCACGATCCCTAGGGTGTGTCATCTCTGAGTGCATTCCTTTTGTAAGGGCCTCGGACACTCACCCCTTCTGGCTGGACCCGCCTTGTGCTGTCGATCTGCAGCTGCGGTCCTAGGCCGGGCCAGCCCTTATTTTTCTGCCCTCTCGCTCCCCACAGCCCGGCTCCACGTTCAGGTGCAGGGCCTGGGCGCCATGGGAGCTCCGTACAGACCCTTTCCTCATCTCCCTCTGTCCTCGCCTCACAGTCTAGCTGTAGTCATGCCATCCTGATCAGTGTGACGTCCTAGGATTTTCTCATCGAGTCCTCCTAAAACAGAGGGAACAGTTAGAATCTCCTGCTGTAAAGATTGTGAGTTTGAGGAAGCCGCCGTGCAGCCAGTCATCTGCCCTTCCGTGTCTTCCTCTCGGCATTTGTGACTGCAGATAAAGGACGTGTGGCGGTGGCACTGTGTGTGCCAGCTGTCTAGGCTTCTTCGTACTCTGTGCAGGAGAGATCGCCCTGAACTGAGGAAGGGGTGCCCAGGGCAGACACAGACCCTCCCCCTCCTCCCCTGGAAGTTGAGGAGTCGGGGAATAGTTAAATATCCTTGTTAGCATAAAGCTAGATGGAAGAGTGGCTGCAGCGGTCTTAGCTAGCTAGGACTCTGGGGCTGTGTCCATGGAAGGCTTTCTGGCCTGAGCAAGCCTGCTGGAAGGTTGGGCCACAGCCCGGCGGAGACATGTTAACAGGACACCGGCCGTGGCTGGCCGTCGCCTGCTGTGCCAGGGGTGGAGGCCCCGGGTCCTTAGAGAAGCCGGCTGGCTGCTTGGGATCCCCTGAGAGGCGCTCTGAGTTAGGAGGTTGCTAGGTTTACTCCGTAGGGTATCTTTATCCAGCGTCTTAATTTCCTTTTACTGATTTAACAAGTTCAGGAAAAATATTAGAACTTGACAATATGTGGCTAAAAAAGTGCTTGCTCTGCCACCTGTTCATGGCTCAGCAGGTCGCAGTGGCAGGGAGACGGCATTGTCCTGCTGGCTGTGCGGCCGTGTGGCTGTGCCGGTGGTTCTGTCACGGGGCGCATGGGCTGCCTGGAGGGAAGCCTTGAACAGCTGTTGGGTCTTGAGTCGTGGAAGTTTTTTGTTTTGCTTTTTTTGGTTTCAGGTTGTAGACAAAGTTCACAATCAGGGGTGCAGATACTAAAACCTTAGATCGCTGTGTTTATTGGAGTTATCTCAGTGAGCGCTAGGCTTGTGGAAGCTCCGGGTGGTGTGTCAGGGAGGAGCTCCGCTTGGCTGGAGACAGCAGGGTGCACCAAGTGTGGTTGGGGCACCAAAGCTTTAGCTTTCGCACGTAGAGAGAAATCAAGAGTACTGGTTGATACCTTCATTTCTGGGGCTCAAGGAAAATGTCTCCAAGCCTTCTGCCTTTTCACTCTGGTCCCAAGGCGGCCGCTGAGTCTGCAGTAGGCACCCTGACTCCCGGTAGGAGGAAGGATGAATAGACTCACATCTCATGACCAAGGAAGATCTCTGACGGCTCGGGGCCACGGGGAGTCCGGCTGTGTCATCGCTCAGCTGGGCGGATCGTGCCACCCATAACCTTTGAGTGCTGCTAGTGAGAAACAGTGATTGAATGGATGTTGGGAAAGCAACTAACATCTTTGCTACAGGCGGTATTTTATTTTTATTTCAATATGAAATCCTCTAGTGGCTGGAAAAGTTCTGAAGTGATACTTTAGGAGATAATCATGCTGTTTAGGTAACTATATAATAACCTCTTTATCTGTAATGTTGTGCTGAGGAAGAGTGGGAGATTCTGTGGCTTTTTTTAGAATTAGGAAAGGGCCGAAGAATGAAGTAAGTCATCTTTCTTAAGGCCCAGTATTGTCCCTGATGTTCAAAGATATGTTGTAAATTGGATTGAAAATCGTCCAAGGACATACAGTTCCTGAATTTGTGAAGAGCAGGGAAAGAAACCCAGGAGGCTGCCAAGTGTGGGCCGCAGCTCAGCTGCGCGCTCTGAGAGCTGCACAGTGTATTCTCAGTCTTCACGCGAGTCAGAGATCCCTGGGCGCGCTCCCTGCTGTCATAGCTTTGTAAACATTCCAGACATCTTTGCTCTTGAGCTTCCTGTTCTTGTGCCCAGCGCACCTTCCTGGAGATGCTTTTCTCTCCCATGAGCAGTGAGAGCAGGCTGAGCGGCCGCACTGGAGTCGGGGCGGCCTGCAGGCTCTTCCTGCTGCTGCAGGGGGCGTCGACGCACCTTGTACAAGTCTCAGTACGCACGTGACTGCCAGGAGCGCTCCTTCAGTGACACGTGGGATTTCTTTGGCTTTATATGTATTTTAAGGTGATCATTTCTTATTCACAAGAAGTGATCATTCGGCTTCTGGAATTTTCTCTAAAACTGACCAGTGGGTAAATGAAAGGAAACACTCTGACTTGGATTCTTTCCCTTTTCGATGACTTGTGTCTGCAGGCCGTGTCAGCCCACCGTGTCCCCTCACAGTGAGGCGACACCCATTCCGGTCCCGACTCAGATGAGGAACTACCAGCGCCTGGAGCAGCACCTCACGGGCGCAGCGGGCTCCGGCGCGCACCCCCAGGGCTCCCCGAGGTGAGCCCCTTCGCGCCTCTCGGCCGCTTTCTCCTTGCCTCTGAAAGTGTCGTCGTCCCCGAGAGGTCTGTGACCCCATGGCCGGCTTACTGGCTAGCGTACGTGTCTGGTGGAGGTGTGCAGACTTGAGTAACGATAGGTGTTTTGCAGTGGCCCTGTTTCCGCGATGTGCAAGCTTGGCTGCATCACGTCGTGTGGTTTGTATGTATTTGTCCACAAGTATAATTATACTTAACAATCGAAGAAGAACTTGTTGAAAGATGAAATCTCACCAGCAGGCTGCGTACACAGGATTTATTCCTTCTGCGTCGCACCAGAGTAGTAAGCATGGCCAAGGTGTGAGTCCACAGAGGCAGTGAAACGAGAACGGATGCTCAGTGGCTGAGAGACACCATACGTTTCTGGAAGACAGACAATGGAAGAGGGCCGCCTGCCGTCGCGGGCAGGGTGGGCTACGTGCTGTCGGAGATGCTGAGGCGTCTGAGTGAGCGCGGTGGGGCGTGTGGAGGCAGCCAGACGGCTCCGCAGGAAGCCGCCTGCAGGAAACAGCCAGAGTGAGGGGAGAAGTGGACGCGCTCCCAGAGGGAGGCTGGAGGAGCGGCCGTAAGTGAGAACGAAATGCTACTGAAAACAACCAAAGCAAAAAAGACCTCTTGGATGTTACACAATATAGTAACTGAAATAAAACTAAATATTGGAGTGGGGAGGGTACAGCTCAAGTGGTAGAGCACGTGCTTAGCATGCGTAGGGTCCTGGGTTCAGTCCCCAGTACTGTCTCTAAAAATAAATCAGTAAACTTAATTCCCCCTTCCCAAAACCTACAAAAATAATAGTAATGAAAAAATGCTAAGAGACAAAGTTGAGGAAATATCTGAAATAGGTGAATCAAATACAGAAGATGGAGAATACAAATTAAAAAATTCTCTTGCAGGGTAATTTGATACAGGCATGCTAGAGAGAAAATTAGAAAAGCAAGGAAGAGAATGTCCAGGAAATAATCAAGGAAGTTTTCCCAGAATTGGAGGAGACAAGATTGTAGGTTAAAGGACCCACCAAACGAGTAGCTCAGTGAATGGAAAAGGAGCCTCACTGTCCTGCAGGATGTCATATAATTATACTTGTGGACAAACATCCACACACCATACTACACGATGCAGCCAAGCTTACACATCACAGAGATAGGGCCATTGCAAAACACCTATCATTAGGAAAACTTTTAGGAAGGGCATTTGGCAATATGTGTGAAAATCAGTGATGCGAGTGTCCTGCGACCCAGCACTCAGCTTCTGGTAACTTGGTCTGCAGACACCGTCCCTGCCTGTGTGTCACGCTGCGTGCGTGCGTGCACGGAGAGGTCAGCTATCATGATGGCAGAGGTTGGGTGCTGAGCCAGGTGCCCGCCGTAAGGGTCTGGTTTATTATGCTCTGTCTGTGACAGGGGGACACCTTCCAGAAAGAGTAAGGAAGCTCTCTGTGTACTCAGGAAAATTTCCAAAGTATGTTATAAAATGAAGAAAGCAACAGGAGTAACAGCGCGTTAGCAGTGGTTCTCTGTGATCTGTGGCTCCATTTCAGAAGGTCCATGAGGTCGAACCCATTTTCACCATAGTCCTAGGGTGTCGTTTGCTCCCTTCACTGCGACGACGTGTGCACTGACGGTGCACAGGCAGCGATGGGGGAGCTTCCGGTGCCTCAGGACGCATCAGGGTGGCAGCTCCAGCTGTGCTGTTAGTCTTGTCTCCTCGCCAGCACACACCCGCGGTGCCCAGGAGTGTTGTCAGTGAAGCGGTGAAAGCGTTGCTTCTCTGTGAGAGTCTTGGCCCTGGGTGGACGTGGCACGCGGCGCCTTCCGCGCGCTGGGTGCCGTCTCCAGGGGAGCTCGGGCCTGGCTGCTGTGGCTGCCGGCTGAGTTGGCCCCTTTTCGCAGCACCGCTGGTGCTTGAGAGGACAGCTGACCAGCTGGCTGTGGGTGTTGGCAGCCGTTCTGTTGAAAGTGAACTAAGTTGGTGATATTTTGATATGAATGGGACCTTTTGATGTTGCAGTGTGTCAGCGTTTGCACAGCTCAGTCAACAATACGTTCCAAAGGCCCAAACACTAAAAAAAATCGTCCATGGTAGTCTAAGACCCATTTGTGGTACAAGGTGCTTTGCAGAGAGTGAAGTTTAATGGAACCGAACACAAGCTTCACTGATGTGGTTTCAGATCCCACACTGCAGCTGATCTTAGAAACGACCGCTTGCTGAGTGTTGGTGTAGCAGCAAAGAAAAGTGTGACAAGTGTCTGAAAAGGCTACTGGAATACTCTTCCCTTTTCCAGTTACGTACCTGAAGACTAGATTTTCTTCAGCTACGTTACCCAAAGTAGCGTGTTGTATAGTGGATTGGATGCAGAAACGGTTTGAGTGCCCAACTGTCTGTCATCTCCTGAGCTAGACATTAGAGATTTGAAAAAATGAAAAACAATGTCACGTTTCTCAGTAATTTAGGGGGTGTTTTGGAAAATAATCATTTTCATAATCTTGTGTTACCATAAGGTTATTCTTTTTAGTGAATTAACAATTACAAAAATTTCTCAGTCTTAACTTTTAATACAGCAAGTATCAATAGGTGTAAGTCAAATAAACAAAACTCTCTGGGGTCTTCAGTAACTTTAATACTATAAAGGGGACCTAAAAGCAAAACATGACAGTGGTTGGTATGTTATCTGCTACATTTATCAAAACAAGAGAAGAATAATACGTATTCATAATACGTATTCGGTTTATCTAGTTTGCTTGTATTGGAATTAAGGAACTCTAGAAGGATACATTAGAAACCAGAAAGAATGGTAACCTTCTGAGTAGGACTGGGAAAGTGTTGAGACTCAGATACCAGGATGGGAGGGAGACCTCACTCTGTAATTTTATCCATTTTATATTTGTTCTGTGTGACTGTGTTCTATATTTTTAAAAAAATCTGCCGGATGCATATTGTTAGAAAGTTTTAGGAAAAAAGACAGAAGTAAAGGCAGAGCCCTAGAACCTTCCAGAGAACAAGGGCGTAATGCTGTTCTCCTCTGTAGATCTGCGGCGGTGCGAAGGTCCAACACCAGCCCCCTGGGCTTCCCCCGGCTGGGATCCTGCTCCCCGGCACCAGCAGACACGGCGCAGACCTTCGGACGGAGACTCTCCACTGGGTCTTCCAGGCCTTATTCACCTTCCCCTTTGGGTGAGAAGTTAAAGCGGTTATTTCCAGCCTTTTTTCATTATGACTGACCTGACACTGGCTTTACAAGCACTGGCTAGCGGTGGTGGGGAGTCTCCCTGCCTGGGGCCATGGCCCACCCTCCAGCTCCACCCAGCTCCTCGTTGGCTCTTGAGAATCTCTCTACTGAAAACGTGATAGTAGACATGGATCTTACGGATAAGAAGTGTCTCCATCGGGCTTGGGCTCTAAATGTGAAGTCAGAAGCGCTAGGTCAACGTGTGTAAGATGCTTGTCCCGCTGGCACTGAGACTTAGGAGGCTGAAGGCCCGCAGAGCAGTCTCAGCCCTGGGCCCGGCCGTCAGGCCTCCCAGCTGCCCAACCGCATGGCCCCCACACCTCCCGGAAGCCGCACAGCAGCAGGGAGGACTCTCAGGCCACCCAGCCAAATTCAGAGAAGCAGCAGCAACAACAAATCCCAACCAGACAGAAAGACAAACCTAAAACCACATTTTCCGTGTAACTAAGACAAAATGCTCCACCTTCAGAACACGTGTGAGAGAGGCCATGGCAACATCTCAGCTGAGTCTGTGAGAAACAGCCCACAGCATCGATGGGGGACTGCTGCGCGGGCCAGCTGCAGCCCTCGAGGCCCAGCAGTGGCAGGTCTCAGGCAGGCAAAACAGAACGCACATGCGCACGCGCGCACGCGCTTTGGAAAGGACAGGGCCCCTAGCCTCCATCACAACCCCTGGAGCAGAAATTGGAGGGAGTGGGGAGATGTCTCGGGAGGAGGCAGAGCCGGAAGGGCTGAAGTAGTGCCCAGGAGCCCCGATTCAAAAAAGCAAAAACCACAAGGATAGTGATTTTTTTTTTCAAAGTTTGTATAGCCACTCCCACTGTTGCAATGATTTTGAAGTTGCTTTTAGCTGAAATACTTCTTCAAACAAAATCTTGGCCCTCCCTCACCCATCAGCGGCTCCTGAGGCTCTCCAGGGCCTCCAGAGAGGAGGCCCAAACCTTATCCTTGCTCTCAAGAAAGAGGCCCTTCCTTGGGGTCCGGTCTCTACCTACCGACCCCACCACTTGGTCAGTGCCTCCTTTTGTAGATACATGTCTCTTGTCTGCTTGAACTCCCGGAAGCCCCTCTGACTCTCCCTCCTGTTAGTTGGGTTCTCGGAGGTGCATACGGAGGAGGTCCATGCGGTGATGTGCGGGAGAGGGGCTGGGAGCACCTGTGATGGAGAGGGGGCAGGGCAGGCGTGGGCGAGACTGACCGCAGTGAGTTCTGAGACCGTTTCAGCTGGCCCAGAGAGTGTCCCCAAGCACTAAGTCATCCACCCCCAACCCAGACACTCGGCTGCAAGCAGCGGGGAGCATGGCTCGGCAGGAACGTGGCGGGTGGAGGGACAGCGGCTAGGCTGTAGGTCGGCTGCGCCCTGCACTCCGCAGGCCCCGACACTCGGTCCAGTCTCTGTTCTCGGCCTTAACGACGTGCCTTTACAGGCGCTGAGGGCTTCCCTGGCTCTGCCCCAGCTCTCGGCTTCACGGCCGGGTCTGTGGTCCTTCCACCTCTTGCCCCCGCCCAGCGCCTTGGTCGCCTAGTACACGTGAGCTGGACTCAGGCTTCACTGGTTACGCTTTGTGAACGGCAGTGTGCGGTCTGTGTGTGCTGCCTGTTTCCCCCCTTCATTGGTTTTGAGCCACTTCCCCGTCCCTTTTGCTGTTTCCCTCTTCGTAGTTGGGACCACCCCTGAGCAGCTCAGTCAGCGCTGCCGTGGGCGCCCTCGGGGCCGCGAGGCCAGGCGCAGAGACCCGGCAGGTCAGAGACGTGTTTGCCATTTAATAATTTTGATCCTGCCATAAGTACATTTGAGTTATGTTTTTCCAGTCTTAACAGAGCAACAATTTATATGAAATATTTTCTCTGCTATCCTGTTTAGGGTCTTGGTTTAATGTGCTCTAGCATAGCACAGCCAATCAGTTATCTTCTGAGTTTTTTTTTTCTGACAGGTTTTCTTTTTAATGGTTTTATTGAAGTATAGTCAGTTTACGATGTGTCAATTTCTGGTGTGCAGCACAATACTTCAGTCATACAGGAACATGCATATATTCATTTTTATATTCTTTTTAATCATAAGTGACTGCGAGGTATTGAATATAGTTCCCTGTGCTGTACAGCATAAACTTGTTGTTTATCTATTTTATATATCATAGTTATCTCCTGAGTTTATGATTCTTTTATGAAACGAAGCCTTAGGAATTAATGTAATTAGCTAAATTTTGGTTATTGTTACTCAGATAATGAAAATTACTCCAGAAAATAAAATTTCATTACTTTGATCAGTACTGTTTTTGATAAGAGCTTCCAGTTAGCATCAGATAAAAAATAGAGATATTTATTTGCTTTATTATATAAAATATATATGCCTGAAAAGATATGCATAAATCACACTTTTATAAATCTTATGTGCATTTGAGGAGTTGGCCAGTTAAAGGAATTTTAACTGGGTTAAATTTAACTGTCAAAATTAAAGGAATTTATGCTGTGTTACTTAGAAAAGAACTCTTTTTTAGGTTAGTTTTCCAAATTTTGTGTTTCCTTAACAGTAGAGCTTGGACAACTTTCCCCAGATCGTAACACGTTGTCAGTGTTTATTGTGTGTGGGCGTACATATGGCAGAGCCCAGTTCTGAAGAATACTATGCTGGAGTTAGGGTGAGATGAAGCTGGGAGTGGTCAGCAGCAAAAGCTCCTAGCGGTGCCTGTTTTTGGAACGATGATTGTTATTAGTCAATGAGAAGACTTATGTGTTTTTAATGTTATTGGTAGTAGTTTGGCTTGCAAGTTGCTCTGAAGAATTTGTAACTGGAGCTCCAGCTTAGTGAATGTTAGGTTGGCAACCACAGGATTTGTGTGGGGAAATCCCTTGTTGTAGCCAAATGTGCACCGTGTCGGGACACCCCTCCCAGGTTGTTGATACGGGGACCCCTTAAGAGGCAAGAATATCTGTGGATAAGTGTTTCCTTTGTAGAGAATATGATACTTCAGGTTTTAAATGAACTTCATTAAACTGACAAAAATAAATATCCATATATGTTTGTTACCTTTAGACAATGAAATCCAGGAAAGGTATATTATCTTCCTAATTTTCTTTGCAACATTTTTGGTGGGGGGCAAAGAAAAGGGGTTATTCTAGGTTAGTTTGAAAAATTTCTTTAAATTGCTGTGTGAGGAAAGGGAGTATTTATGTTGATGTACTGGTGTGTGTTCACGTACAGAGCAGGAGTCGTCTTGCTCAGTGTCGGTTTTGTTGTTTGCGTTAACTTTAACCATTTGCTACTTGGTTCTCTTTGATGCTAATTAGACCTTTCGTTACTCTGAGTTATTGGCTTGACGCTGTTAAAAACAGCTGACACGCCCATCCTCGTTAACTTCCGTCCCCTGAGGACACCAGCAACCATGTGCTTGTCCCTGCTTTGTAAAAGATGCCAGAACTTGTCTCTTGCCAGGTGGACAACTTTTGGAATATCTCACGGAAAACAAGACATTCATTAGGGTTCTCATGTTAAGAACTGTCTTAATTCCTCAGCTTGTGCCCTGCGTTTGTCTACTTTGGTGAACAGTGCCTGTTTCTTTGGCAGGTTCTCCAGGGCCGCAGACTCCCTCACCACAATCTCTCTTGTTGGGTGCTAGGCTGCAGAGCGCCCCCACCCTCACCGACATCTACCAGAACAAGCAGAAGCTCAGAAAGCAGCACTCTGACCCCCTGTGCCCGTCCCACGCCGGGGCCACGTGCAGCGCCTCACCTCAGCCCAGTCGGCCCGGCAGCCTCGGGACCTATCCCACCAAGCACATGGGGTCCTCTCCACGGAGTTCTGACTGGTTCTTTAAGACTCCTTTACCAACAATCATTGGCTCTCCTACTAAGGTGTGTTTCTTAAACCCTTTTGTGGATGTTACAACTTTGTTAAGTTAACATTTGTTAAGCGGGCATCTTGTTCCGGATGGTGAGCTGAGGTCCAACAACAGACCACAAGAGAAATTGAACTAGAGAAGTTGATTATGCCCAGGTCTCGGAAGAAGGACCCAGCACACCTCAAGGGGCCACACCAGGCTGTCAGGTCAGAGTATGGACCTGGGGCACGTGCCTTATTAGCATCCGTGGGTGGAGTGCTTGGGGGCTCCTGGGCTGAGGCAGGGTTGGTCAGTCCAAACCAAATAGCGGGGTTCTGGTGAGCTCCACAGGGTCTGATCTGAGGGCACACGGGGGACGGCCTGGGGAAACGGGGGGACTGCAGATCAAGGGCAGGTGGGGAGTCGTACCCAGAACGCCCATTTACCTGTGGCTGGGCGGCTGCCTGGGGAACGTGCTTGTCCAGCGGTTGGTGCCAGTTGAAGGTTCCCACAGACTGTGTGGCCAGAGTGGGCGTGGAGGCAGCAGTACCGTGGGACAGCAGGTCCTGAGGTAGCGTAGTGAGCCCTTGGTGGGAAGGACTCAAGAGGAGAAGGGCTGCAGTTTGACGAGCACGTGGGGTGCACCGGCACAGCAGATACCTGCTGAGTGCTTTGTGTGCGTGTAGTCCTGAAAAAAGGAAGCTGAGGTTCAGTGTGAGTGCGCCGTCAGGGTCATTTGTAGGAAGCAAGAAGAGCCGGGATGGGAGCCCGGGTCTGCCTGCGTCTCTGTCCCTTCCCCGTGGCCATGCCGTGAGTGGCCCCATGCTTCTGAACGCTGCCGACATCTGGTAACTGGCTTACATGTTTCTTTAGACCACAGCTCCTTTCAAAATCCCTAAAACACAAGCGTCTTCCAACCTGCTAGCCTTGGTCACTCGTCCCGGGCCTCCTGAGGGGCAGTCTAAGGATGGGAGTGACCCACGAGGGTGCTCTCGCTGTCTCTCAGCACAAGGAGGTGAGAGGCAGAAGCCGGAGCAGCAGATCAAGGCGCCTTTTGGCAGGTACACAACCCTGTTTCCTTCCAGCCTTCAGCATGTTTCCGTCCTAGAAACAGCCAGACCGAGACAGCTCAGTGGCCGCTTTGTGCCTCGTGCTCAGTGACACTGGCCCGTTACTGTTAAGGAGACCGTGGATGCCGCCCATCCTTGCGCGTGTTCTGAGCTCTTCTCCCCGAGTTGTCTGCTCCTGTCTTTGCTTTATTTCGGTTGTTAAAGTTTACCTCTGCCTTGAGTTGCTTGGTCTCCATTTTCTGTCTCCTTGTTCACTGCTTTTCCATTAACCCTTTTATAGGTTGGCTTAAATCACCCTTGTTATTTAAATGTCTGGATTTTTTTAAAGTATGCATTTATTAACATCACTCTTCTTTTTAGATCTGTCAGTACTGGGAAGTTATCAGATCAGCAAGCGAAGGCACCTTTAGGTGGACACCAGGGCAGCACAGACAGTTTAAATGCAGAGCGGCCAATGGATATCGGTAAGAGAAACCTGATTTCTTTTGGGGCAGGTTATTTGTTTGTTGGTTTCCTGTTGTTGCTGCTGTAAATTACCACAAGCTTGGTGACTTAAAACAACACAGATGTATTATTTTATAGTTCTGGAGTCAGAAGTCCAGCATGGGCCTCCCTGGGCTGCAGTCAAGGTGCTGACAGGGCCATGCCCCTCCCGGAGGCCCTAGGGCAGCATGCGTTTCCATGCCTTTTCCAGCCCAGAGACGGCCCTCCTTCCTTGGCTCGTGGCCTCTTCCATCCTGAAAGCCAGCAATGGCCAGTCTAGACTCGGACCTTCTGCCTACATTTAAAGGACCCTTCTGATTACATTGGACCCAGTGGATAATCTGGATAATCTCTTTATGTTAAGGTCATCTGAGTAGTTCCATCTGCCCTGTTGCATACATAGCCTGTGGAAGGGTGCCAGGGGTTAGGGCATGGACATCTTGGCTTGGGGCTGGGGCCTCATTGCTCCACCCGTCTACTTTTAGGAACCTGTTGACCCAGCTTTCTCCATCCAGCCCCTGTCCTCTCACCTTCTTTCTCAAGAGCTGAGAGATAGAGACTTTTTATCGTGATAATCAGCAGCCTGAGGTTTAGAAGGAACTCTGACCAGGATTGTTTTTATCATAGGCTAATACTGGCCAGAGTTAGCCTGAACACACATGTGCTCTGGCATTTCTTGTAGCAGGCCATTCACTATAGAACCGGAGGCCACTGGGGGATCCCGACTCTTTCATGGTTGTTCTGGGAACTTTCTGTCCGCAGACCCACATCTTGGTTACTCTGGACTGCTTGTCAAGAATTGCCAAGGGCAGGTTCCAGACCCTAACCCAGACATGTTTAATCGTGTTTTCTGGGAGGAGATTATAGGAATCTGGGTCTTTAACAAGCTCCCCTTGTGCTTTTTATGTGCACTTACATTTGAGTCACTGTCGTAACCTCTGTGTTCTTACTTTCTCTGTAATTCTTTACTGACTCTCCCATGAGCCTCCTCAGGAGGAGAGATCTGGACCAGCACATGTCTAGCTGAGCACAGTTTCTAACCCAAAGGGAGTGTGCTAGGGGCTTCATGCCTCACTCCACTCTCATCTTGCTCGCATGGTTTCTGCAGAGAAGCCTGATGCAATCTAGGGGCAAATCCCACCTGGCTATGTTGCATACAGTCCTCTTGCCAGACCCAGATTCATGGTGTCTGAGATGTTCACATCTGTAGTCACGAGAGCCTGTGCTTCTCTTGTGATGTCCTTGTCTGGTTTGGGTATCATGGTAAGACTAGCCTCATGGAGTGAATTGAGAAGTGTGCAGATTTTTGGAAGAGTTTGTGAAAAATTGGTTTTCTCTAAATGTTTGGTGGATTCACCTGTTGAGCCGGCTTAGCCTGGGGTCTTCCTTGTGAGAAGGTTTGATGGCTGGCTCACTCTCTTCACCTGTTGCACACCTGTTCTTGCTCTTAATTTCTTGAGTTGCTTTCTGAGAACGTGTTCCCTTCATCCAGGTTGCCTAGTTAGCTGGCACACAGTGGTTCGTAGTAGTCCCTTAACTCCTTTTTCACTTCTCTAAGGGCAGTGGTGCTGTCCACTCTTTCACTTCTGATTTTAATACTTGAGTCTTCTCTTTTTTTCTTAGTAGTCTAGCTAAAGGCTGTGAGTTTTGATCTTTTTCAGAGAATGAACTTTTGATTTTTTTTTCACTATTGTTTTCCTGTTTTATTTCATTGATTTCTGCTCTAAACTTTATTACCTTCCTTCTGCTTGCTTTTGATTTAGCTTGTTTATGGATATGAAACCAGATTTTTTCTCTGAAAGAGCATTTAGGCATAAAATGCATCTTTGATAATTTACACTCTTCTACTTTTCTCTCTCCCTCTTGAACTTCATTGTCATCATTTGAAGTCACAGATTTTCTCTTTCTAATCATGAAATTTCAGTGTCTGAAAATAAAAACTGTTGATAGTATAAAAACTCAAGACCTTAGGGAAAAAATAGGGTAATTGACTCTTAAGATACACCAATGACAATCTTCTTTCCTTATACTTAATAAAATAAAATCGTAACGATATTAAGTAAGCAGCAATCTGTGCCATTTGATACATCGTGTGTGACAACAGGTGCTATTTAATCAACTTCCACTTGCTGTTCTCTTGCTCCCTGGAAGATTTTTGTGAGCTCTCTTCTGCTGTTAAATGTTTTAAGTTTGTTATGTTCTGTTGCAGATAAGATGGACACTTAGGTGTAAATTTTTTCTGCATCTAGTTCAGTATCTCTCTAGTTTTACATTCATGATTTATGTGAACTCCTGCCTCCATTCTGTGGTAATGTGATGTAATGTGACACTTGAGTCTGAAAAAGCTTTGGACAACTTTGATTCTGCATTGTTCGGTGGATGGGGGTGTGTTTTTACCTTTTCTTGGTTTAGCCCAGGCTCAGTCCCTCAGGCCCCTTTGACCCCTGTCCCACCTCCCTTTCTTCCTGACAGATGTGAAGATGTGATTCTAAGGCATTGCCTTAGACTCAACTTTCTGTATCTTTCTCAAGCTCTGTTGCTAAGGAGAAACTCCTGATTTCCCTTCAGTTTACCTCACTTTTTTAAAAATTGAAGTACAGTTGATTTACAGTATTAGTTTCAGGTGCACAACATAGCGATAGAAAATATTTATAGCTAATACTCCATTTATTATTATAAAATATTGGATATATTCCCTGTGCTGTGTAATCTACCTTTGTGGCTCTTTTATTTTGAATATAGTAGTTTGTATGTCTTAATCCTCTGCCTCTGTCTCGCCCCTCCCCCCTCCCTGCTGGGGACTGCTCATGTGTTCTCTGTATCTGTGAGTCTCTTGTCTGTTTTCTTATATTCACTAGTTTGTTTTATTTTTTTTGATTCTACATGTAAATGATAACAGTATTTGCCTTTCTCTGTCTGACTTATTTCACTAAGCATAATACCCTCCAAGTCCATCCATATTGTTGCAAATGGCAAAATTTCATTCTTTTTTATGGCTGAATAACAGTCCAGTGTGTGTGTATGTGTGTATTACATATATACACCACGTCTTCTTTATCCAGTCATCTGTTGATGGACACTTGGGTTGTTTCCATGTCTTGACTGTTGTAAATAATACTGCTGTGAACATTGAGGTGTGTGTATTTTTTCGAATTAGCATTTTCATTTTCTTCAGATACATGCCCAGGAGTGGAATTGCTGGATTATATGGTAGTTCCATTTTTAGTTTTTTGGGGAACCTCCATACTTTCCACAATGGCTACACCAAATTACATTCCCACCAACAGTGCATAAGGGTTCCCATTTCTCCACATCCCCACCAGTTTTTGTTACTTGTGTTCTTTTTGGTGATGGCCGTTCTGACAGGTGTGAGGTGGTATCTTGTGGTTTTGGTTTGCATCTCCCTGATGATTAGCAGTGTTGAGCATCTTTTCATGTGCCTGTTGGCCATCTGTATGTCTTTTTTGGAAAAATATCTATTCAGGTCCTCTGCCCATTTTTTAATCAGGTCGTTAACTCACGTGTTTATTTCCAATTCTTGGTTTCCACTTTGTCAAATTATTTCTCAAGTGTGATTGCAGTTCACGTATTTTAGAAGTACACAGAAGTAACTGAATTCTAGGCGTTAGTGTTAGAGAAGATTCACAGCTGTGAAGAGATGACCATGAAGTATTTTTAATGGAGATCTATACTGAATTTTCTGATTTTAAGAGTAATAAATGCTTATTGTTTAACTTAAAAAAAACCTTGTATGAAAATACAGGTCTCCCTGTAGTCCCACCCTCAGATGCATAACACATTTTATAAACGTCTTATTGCAACCCCTGCAGGAGCCTGTGGTGTTGCCCTGGCACCTCCTGTGGGAACGGCGGCAGGTTCCAGGGCTGTCCTATTCACCGTGGGGTCCCCTCCACACAGTGCTGCGGCCCCCACTTGTGCCCACACAGTCCTCCGAGCAAGACCCTCAGGTGAGGAGCCCTCTTAGTACTGTATTCGGCTTGTGCGTGGGGTGTGGGTTCTGAGGATGACTTAGTGGTGTGACTTAGCTAAGTCACGTAACTTCTCTGGACTTCAGTTTCTTTACCACTGACATGGAGATCATGATTTTCTTTACCTTAAAGGGTTATAAAGGGTAAATGAGGCAATCTTTGTGGGAAAGAATTTATAACATAAAAGGTCCTGTATTGTATGTTTGTGATAGTGTGTAACACTGTAGCTGTCTGACATCAATGTGAGGCAGCTGTGCGTGTCGGTGCTTCACAGTTTATGCTGAAGGCTTGTTCTCCTGCACCAGTACATTTTTTGAAAATCATAGGTGGTTGTTATC